AAAAGACCTCAAAATCAATTACGTAATTATATAACAGAGCTTAACACGTATAATATATATTTATAATTCAATTTTGATATTGAAATAAAAATGCAAATAAATAAGTGTAGTTTCATATATCAAGGAGCAACAGCATATAAATCATATGATATATATATTAACAATAATTTGAAAGTTAATTAAATAAAAATATCAGACAGTTAATAAAGCCTCTAATTTTAACTTGTAACGTGCAATAATTTTTATACTGCAAGTAATTTAAAATAAAGAACCTGTTGTATCAAATTTTATAATATGTAGATTAATATAGATAATAAATTTTATTTTTTATTTAATTTCAAATAAACAAATTAGCTTAACAAAATGTTATGCTTAAGACATTTTGAAAAAATACAAAAGTTTTTCGAGATTGAATAAAAAATTTATCTTCAACATTATTATACATTGTATGCGAATTATCTTATGTTTAATACTTGTTGGTACCAGGAAAAAATATAATTAATTATTACATCGCGCTGCTCCGCTGAAAATAAAATTTGTTAACTTGACTAAACCTTTCAACTAAATATTATTTTGTTAATTGAACCTATAAAAATATTAAAATTAAATATAACGTATTAAATCTAACAAAACGTATATTTGACTTAAATACTAATATATGTTCAATTAGTTAAAAGGTTTAGTCAAGGGTTAACAAATTTTTCTCAATGTAGAACCATCTTCGAAAGCCTCGATCTGCCACTGCATATGTTAAAATAGCATAGGGATGGGAGAGAGACGATGCAGGAAATCAGGGGTCTCGTGCAGGACTAGGCAATTCTTCCTACACGCCAGAACCCCACGCACTTCTCATCTCTAGACTATCATGATTATTACTTAATAGATATCGCCAGGCCACAAGGGAGACTCTTATCATCGCGCGTTATATCCCAGCTACTTGCTCCTTCCTCCCTTTCATCGTGTCCTGCGCACATCCGCCTCGAATGGCAACGCCAGGTTGGTCTCTACCCGCCCAGCCCTTGGAAAAGGGCTGTCTGTTGGTCGAAAGAAAATCGCAAGAGGGGAGAAAGTTTTGGGATACACTGATAATCAGCGACTTCGCTGATTACGTTAATAATCAATTAAATTCAAGGAGTTTTTTTAGATGTGCATTTACCCCTTCTAGAGAGAAACTTATATTAATAGGGTGTCCAGCAGACTCAATGGAAAACATTCCCTGACTTTTTCAGATTTTCCAAACCAGAAATTTATTTTTCCCTCATTTTTTAGGATTATTTTTTCCAAATATATAATATAAAAAATCCAGATAAATAAAAAAAATTGACATATATATTTCATAAACATAGAGAAGGAATAAAATGACAAAAATAATTTAAAAATTAGCTCTAGCTATTAAACCCTGTCCATAGAAAAATCCGAATTAAAAAAAATTGTCTTCAAGATTACTAGAACTAATTTTTAAATTATTCTTGTCATTTTATTCCTTCTCTATATTGATGAAATATGACATATGTCAATCAACTCTACATTCATGACAAAATAAAAATTGTCTTCAAGATCACTAGAGCTAATTTTTAAATTATTCTTGCCATTTTATTCCTTCTCTATGTTTATGAAATATGACATATGTCAATCAACTCTACGTTCATGACAAAATAAAAATTGTCTTCAAGATTACTAGAGCTATAATTTTTAAATTATTCTTGTCATTTTATTCCTTCTCTATGTTTATGAAATATATATGACATATGTCAATTAACTGTACGTTCATGACAAAATAAAAATGGAAGTCTTTGGCTTCCGAGGACTGGCAGATAAATCCTCGCTCCTCGAAAGCTCCTATCTCTTGGCAAAAGTGCTTCACGAGGAAAGCGTGGTAATCGCGGTCGCCAGGCATCAAAGAGAAAAATTAGTCGTCCTATAAGTGCTCCTTTTAATCGCGGCGTTTCCTTTTGGCGGTGTATCACCACCAAGAAACTCCTGGGGCGTTTGTCAGTGGACTGGCAGCCGGCCACTCGACCGATCACTTTCTCTGGTATCTGCCAGGAGGAACCAATGGGGAAAAAATTGAAGAGTAGAGAGATTATCGATCACAGACAAATGCCAGAAAGACGACGCAATTTTTCGAAATTAGTACAACAATCCTTCAATCAGATAAAATTTTCAATGGGCTGATTATGATATATAATTATAAGCCTTCATTATATTAAATATGCGGCAAAGATCTGTCGTAATTTGTATTTTATCCTCTTTTTTGTATAATTGTAACTTGGACGCGATTCTAAAAGCTTTTAAGCGCCAGAATTTTAGATTAATTAATATTTTTTTATATAATTCTCTATTTAATAGTAGCTAGGTGACAAATTTAATTTATACGATTAGATAACGAGAAATAATTATTCGGCTATTACATATTGGCATCTGGTTTCTCTCGGAAATAAAACCAGACGCCCGCCTTTATCGCAGATATAATGTATTCATTTTTTTATTCGCTTGCCATAAATTGTTTCAATCTTGTATGTCGCGTAAATAATTACACGAAACATACTGCTTTATGAATTTCCAGAGATAAAAAAATCATGACGTGCCTTTTAAAATTAGGAGCATAAAATTATACTGCCTGTTACGATAAGAAACATTTTTCACTAATTTTTAGATTGATTCCTGATGATTAAATCATCAATCCGAATCTATCGACGTTTGTTGCGTCACCTCTTCTGTCAATATACCTAATTTTTCATCTTTTCATCAATGCTTTGGATATCCAAGATATCAACTGTACGTTTTTGACACATTGCACCTTTATTATAATAATTTATTTAAAGTAGCTAGACCTCGAATTATTTTCCTAATATTTTAAGAGGTTTCCGACACATTTTTAACATTAAAAACTGCTTTAGATAGCCAAGTATCTGTTCATTGACAGAAAGATTAAAGCCGATTCGATCATAGTCATAATAATAATGAAAATGTCATAATCAGCTGATTTTGACAGTCTATATTATTCGCTATATATTGATGTTGTTGAGAGTGACGATTTAATTATTTAGAGAACTAGAATTCGTCGGAGATCATTTCAATCCTGTACGCGAAAATCGGATGTTGATTCTTAATTGAATAATTGTCGCAATCAGGTACAAATTGGCTTGTTCAGAGACGGAACGAAAAGGAAACCGACTTATTTATGCGAACAGGTTGTTAAGGGTAAAGTCCCGCGGGACAAATGAGTGCTACCGATTTCCCGTCTTTTTGACTCCGACGTCGGATGCTCCCGGTTGTTTCGTTTTTAACCCGAGAAAACGTAGCGAGGGGGAGCTTTTTTTCTCAAAGGGTCGATACAAACCGGCGGATATTATAAGCTTGTTTGCGTGTCATCGCGTCTGAGATGAAGAAGGATATCAATGTAAAAGTAGGCTGACCTGTTATTTTTTTCGCGTATTACATGACAACCCCATGTCATTATTAAATTACGTTTAACAGTTTTTGACAATTGAATTAACATTCTTGTAACTTCAACATTCAGAATTAATTTTTATTTTCTAACTATTAAAAAAATGTTTTATTAATTTCGATTCAATAGATATTTTAAAAGTTAATATACAGAATATTTTAAGAGGCTCCAGCTCACTTCTGGATATATGTTTATAAGACAAATTTACCAGCTTTTAACTTGTAGAATATGTTTCTCATTTTTTACTATCAATCCTGAGAGGTTCTGTATAATTACACTAAATTACCAATTTAGATTAGGATTTTAATTACCAAATTAAAATCCAGAAAAAAATTTAATCTTCAACACGACAAAAAGAAAATACTTAATTTAGAAAATATTTAAGCTGAAAATTTTTATTTTTAACTATTAAATAATATTTTTTTATTAATTTCAATTCAATAGATATTTTAAAAGTTAATATACAGAATATTTTAAGAGGGTAGAGCTCATTTCTGGACATATGTTCATAAAACAAATTTACCAGCTTTTAACTTGTAGAATATGTTTCTCATTTTCACAATCAATCCTGAGATGTTCTGTATAACTACACTAAATTATCTAAGTCATAATACATATAATAAATGTATTTAAATATAATTTACAGCAATATACCGTTTATATTAAAATCCAGAAAAAAATAAATCTTTTAATTTAGAAAATATTTAAGCTGAAAAATGTTCGCTCTCGCAAATTGGGGAATATTCAAGGAAATTTTTCCTCTGCTTACGAACGAATTTACGGTGCAGAGAGAAAATCCCTCGTGCACTTTTGTATACGCCTTTCATCCAATTTGCGTCGCAGCCTCTCTCGCGTCGATATCTCGCGACTAATATTATTATGATATCATGGAGCAGCGTCTGAAGCATCTCGCGTTCGCTCGGGTCAAATTGGCAAAAAGACGATACGTCGGCGCGATGGCGATACGTCGCGAATCGAGCCACCACGGAGGGAGAGAACGCGCGCGTACGTCATACCCTAAATCATACCCCACTTCGCCCTGTTCCTCCCTCAATTTACTAATTGAATCCCGTGGTCCCTTCAGGGGCGTAGACCAAACCGGGCTCCGCCTGTTTACGAGGTCAGGTCACGGCGGAACAGACTCCGTCCGGGTACACCCACTTCGTGACTAACTCGTCCACCACCGACGACGAAGAGCGGAGAACACCGGGAAACAGATCGGTACCGCGTCAAATCCCCGTTTTCTCAGTGTCATTTTGGCCGCACGTCCGAAACCATATCGAGTCCGGGTTGAGATTATAAGCTGAGACTCCGTCGTCGTTGGGGAGAAGCGGAACCGTTTAAGGGTAGTCTAGACGAAAATTTGATGGAAAGATAATATATAAAAGGAGTACATATCAGTCGCGATAAGTTTCTGGAACAGTGAACGTCGAAGGAATCACGCGAAAAAAATAGGGGAGAGAGAATAAAAAAAAATATATACATATATATAATCAGTGTAAAAAAATATATAAAAATATAATAATAATCGGGGAAAGAGAATAAAAAATATATAATCAGTGTAAAAAAATATATCATAAAATATAATCAAAATAAATTTGGCGACATTTAAATGGAAATTGGAGATCTTGTTATACTTGAGAAATATAAGAGAATAATAATCGACATAATAATTGAACAATTTTCGTTTGTTCTAAAAATTGAAAAGACTTTCGTGATTGATGAAATCTAAAATATAATATAATAAGTTTATAATAAAATTCAGAGTGAACATTTTGTGAAATTGGTGACGAATTAAAAAAAGACTTGATAACAGTGATAACCTGGCATCATGCTTGGTGGATACGAGGCACAAACAGAATATTATCCGCAGTGGCATCAGCCATACAATTATGTCACTCAGCTTCCTTACGGTAAGATTTCTTTCAAGATTCTTTGAAGATAAATAGATTATTTTTTAAATTTAAATAAATTAAGAAATGTCATGTTCTTTCAACATTCTCGCGCTTAGTTATCCTCTGATAAAAGCTTTCAGAATATATAAATTTTAGATTCGAAACAAATTATTATCTCTACATGGAGAAAATTTTCTCTTAGAATTTACCCTGAAAATCATTTATTATCTATACATTAATATCGATTATTTTATAAAATTAATCTAAATTAATGTATCAAAGTATTTACCCTCAAGAACAAATTATTCGCGAGAATGCAAATTATGGACTTCAAATTTAAGCACAGCTTCGAATTATATATTTAAATATGTGTAAGTCAACACACACAATTTTATAAATTGTATAAAATTATGTAATATAGTTCTCAAACTATGTTCAGAATTGAAGCCTCTCTATCTATTATGAAAGAAAATAGAATTTATATACATTTTTGATGTATATGTAATATATAGATAATAACGCACCTTTCTCTCTCTTTCTGTCTCTCTAATTAAAATTTATTTTTATATGAACATTAAATAAAAAAAGATATATCGATGTTACTTTAAATCTTGGATTATAATTTGCGTTTTAAGTTACGAATATTATTTTCTGCGTTTGTCAATTTCTAAAATAAAAATTATTCTCTCAAATCATTTATATAATAGTATTGTTTTATATATTCGTTGCAATATATGTGTATTTATATGTCGTTATAATTTGTATATAGATTAAATTGTAATTAGAATGCGTGCAATTAATTTCTACAAACATCTAATAAATAATCTATTTTATGTTAGATCACAAGAATGGCAAAATTTCGTGAAAATAAAATTTGATCGTTCAATTTGCATGCAAGAACTTGATTACATTATCGCTTCTCTTATCATTTCGCAAAGCAGAGACGCCTAATAAAATGAAAAAAAGAGTAGATCAGATTAATTTTTAATGAAGAGATGAAAAATAGCAAGCACAAAATGTAATTATTTAAGAGTTTTTATATAAATACAATGTATAAAAAAATTTTTCATGTACGTTTTGCATTAAATATCTTATGCAAATTATTTTTTTAATAATTAATTATCATAGTATTGTATTATTTATTGATCATAGTTTACTAATAAATGGGAATTTTACAAATAATCTCGAAGGAAACTGAATTAAATTTAGAGAATCAAATTTAAAGACTAATTACTTGTAAATACTTAAAGAAATGTGTTGTAGAATATAATAGTAACTTAGAAATATTTCTTTGCAGATTCTTTGAAGATAAATAGATTATTTTAAAGTTAAATAAATTAAGAAATGTCGTGTTTCTTTCAAAATTCTCGCGTTAGTTATTCTCTGATAAAAGCTTTCAGAAATTATAAATTTTAGATTAAAAAAAATTATTATTTCTACACGGAGAGAATTTTCTCTTAGAATTTACTCTGAAAATCATGGTAATCGAGACAATATGATATTAAAAGAATTTTATAAGAGTTTATCCAATTAATATTTGCCACAATAAAAAATATTAATATATGTACGTAGTAAAATTAATCAAACGTATTTGATATCTTATTGTGGTAGATATTAATATTTTTTATTCTGGTAAATATTAATCAGAGAATCTTATAAAATTTTTCCAATATCAGAATTAAAATTTATCCCGAAAATCATAGTAATTGTGAAATAATTGAAAGAATTTTATAAGAGTTTCTCTGATTAATATTTACCACAATAAAATATCAAATATGTTCAATTAATTTTATTATGTACATATTAATATTTTTTCTTGCAATAAATATTAATCAGAGAAAGTCTTATAAAATTCTTTGAAATATCATATTGTCTCACGATTAATGTGTATAATTTTCAGAATAAATTTTAAGAGAAAATTCTCTTCGTGTACGTACACGATAAAATTAATCGAACATATTTTATATCTTATTGTGATGAATATTAATATTTTTTATTGTGGTAAATATTAATCAGAGAATTTCATAAAATTCTTCCAATATTTACCACAATAAAAATATTAATACATATCGTAATAAAATATCAAATATGTTCGATTAATTTTATTATAATTCTTCCAATATCATATTGTTCAACGATTACCATAATTTTCAGAGTAAATTTCAAGAATAAATTCTTTCCTGTGTATCACAAAAAAAATTATAAAACTGACGAAAGAAAATTAGTAAAAATGATATTCTAATTGTATAGTCGTGTGAATGATTTTCCTCTATCCTGCATAAAAATCGTTGTAAAAAAAGAGAAATAAATTTCCCCAACGCAATCACGTACGAAAACGCGACGTATGATTTTTGCACAGGACCCTTGACTTCGGTTCCCGACGCCGACAGCCAATCGACGTACTGGGGCGCGGATTCCGGCACCTCGGGAAACAGCTCGGGGGCAGGTAGCTCCACCGCGTCGACGCCGCCTCTGATCGAGGAAATCGGCATCCAGGAGACGAGCTACTCGCCGTTGCAGCCATACGCGACACCCAGCCAGCACTACCCTACTCTACCCTACCCCCAGGGGCAGCAGGAAACGTCACCCCATCATCATCATCATCACCTGCACCATCACCATCACCATCAACCGGGTCACCGACGCGAGCACGAGTTCGCGAGTGCCCAGATCGGTCAGCAGGTTGTCAGCGGAGTGGTCGGCACCCTCCAGCAACACCTTCATCAGGGAATTCGCGATGCGAGCGGTGCGCCACCTGTCAGACCGAAAAGGCGAAACACCGCGAACAAGAAGGAGCGACGTCGCACGCAGAGCATAAATAACGCCTTCTCCGACCTAAGGGATTGCATTCCCAATGTCCCAGCGGACACGAAATTGTCGAAAATCAAAACCTTGAGGCTAGCAGCGTCTTACATCGGATATCTGATGGCGGTCTTGGAGAGCGACGAGGGAGAAGAACCGCAGACCTTTAGAGCGGAAATTCTCTCGAACGGCAGGAGAAATAAAGCGAATCAACTCAATCAGGTGAGACGTTATCTGTGCATGGTGAATTAATTTTGGTTACACACAGAAATGAAAAATTAACTATTATAGCTCAACTTCAGCTGGGCCTATATTCAGTGTTTGCTGTTATCTAGATGAAATGATATAGATGATCATTTCTAGATAAAACATTGGCATCATCTTATTTTTATAATAAAAATATGTATTATCTATATCTGCATCTTAGACGAAAAAAGTATTACCTTTACTAAATTATTTAAAATAATTTTCAGATCATTTTGATTTAGACTTATAGCATATAAAAATACTTAAATAGTATAGAACTTAAACAGTAAGCAATAAAAATTTAGAAATAAAAATATGAATACATATATTTTTATATTTTTTTTATAATTTACATTTTTTTATAACTGTGTTTATTTAAGCAGTCTTAAAAATTATTATCTAGAAATTATCGCCATATAATTTTATCTTTTCTCTAGACACATTTAAAACAAAATTATCTTCATCTTATCTAAGATGAATTTACATATTTTTGCCTCATCTTTATCTAACTAATTTTAAAATCATCTAAGCATAACACTGCCTATATTACATATAAAATTTAGTTATTACGCCTAAATTTTAGCTATGACAGTTAATACTTTTTAGCTATAGAATTCTCCGTTAAACTATAGCTAAAAATATTAGTTACCACAAATAAAAAATATTAGCTATATTATAGCTATAATTTAGGCATGCTAATTAAATTTCTGATTATAATACAGGGACAGAGAAGCTAACATTTGGCTAATTTTTTTTATTTTTTCGTATATTGAAAAAAAAATTTAGTTAATTCTTATAAGTATTTATTTCAATACTGTCAAATAAATCATTTATTTGAAACTAATAATATTTATTTGATATGAAAAATATTTATTTGATATAAGAAAATCCTTTTCAAAACAAATAAATATTTATTTGTTTCACATAAATGATTCATTTGACAGTATTGAACTAAATATTTGTTAATTTAACAAATTTTTTTTCAGTGTATATCTATTGATGCTGAATAAAACAACAATAGAGAATAATCCATTGAGAATATCAAACTATAATTAATTTTTAATTGATAAGGATTAGTGGCAATAGAATATATGCATCGAGATAAATAATAATACATTAACATTTTTTTCAATCCTACTTTATTTCTCCTAGTCTTTCCCCTATCTCCTAATTTTTTTCGAACTCGTGAGATTTTTCGTTTTTCTGAAAAATCTTGAAGAACTTCGAGAGCTACTCGAAACACCGTTTTCCGTCCGCGGAACGAAAGTTCTTCGGAATGAATTATTCTATCCTCTGCGAACGGACTTTCCTAAATCTTTCAGAACGCTTTTGTGAGGATCGTCTTAACGTAAACATTCGCCTCTTTAATTGGCCAACGTACGTCGGCCTGAGAACTCGACTTTAAAGCCATCAACGGAATTCGTTAAAAAATGTACCATATCGAATTCTCACGCGTTCATTATTAAAGTCTCACGAAAGTAAGGATGAGAAATAATTTTATTAATATTTATATCGATATTTAGTTAAATACAAAAAATCCGATATTAAAAGTATAAAAATATTGCAATTAAAAATTGTAATTTTTATCTTTAAAACTGTAATTATTTAATATATTTAATTTTTTTGTTTTAATATCAGTTGGATAAAGAATGAATCAATTGTCTAGTTTTATTAATTATGGACTTCCGAATTTAATTCTCTGTCGAAAGGCAAATCGTTGCCTCCGGAAGGTCTGGTAAAAGGAAACAAAGAAACTTTTCTCTCTTGCTCTTTCTAAAGGGACATCCATTGATTCTCCACACCCGATCGTTCTTTCCTAATTCCTGAATTTCGGAAACAATTTGTTTCCTTCAAACCTATATTTTGTAGTTTTCTTTATTTTCTGCGACCCTTTACCGCCCACGTGGATTTTCTTCCCTCAATAAAGGTCACCGTAATTTTCAGTAGTTTATCGAGTAGGTCGATAATCGACGTCCAGAACAATTTGTCTGACAATTATCAAAATTCTATCTCAATTTTAACCTGGAATCTAACATTAACAGGATGTCCAGCAGACTCAATGAAAAAAATTCCCTGACTTTTTTCAAGACCAGAAATTAATTTTTCCCCTAACTTTTTAGTATTATTTTTTCCAAAATATATAATTTGCATATATTTATATGATAAATCAATTAAATGTTAAATCATGAAATCCTTGAGATATTTCTGTCAACAATGAAAAGGTTCGGAAGTTAATACAAAAATTTTAATTAATTATACAATCTGTATTATGTATACGATAATCGAAACAAACATGTCACTATTTAAATAATCGCCTTTTTATATTATATCAAATTTTTTAGTTTCGTCTCTATCAAACACATTGAAATAAAATAACACGACGATGAAAATATAAATTAACGAATACGCTGTACATGAATCGATTTTTAACAACGCAGAAAATTAGCATATTAGGAGTCAAGGTAAAGTTATATCTATTTAATAAAAAATTTCAAATTATTGAGACAAATGTAGAATAATGCACGGAAAAAAATTTATTAAAGTCAAAAAATAAAAATTTAATTTTCTTAATTTAAAGAAGTATTTGATAATTTTAAGAAAACAGTTTTATTTAAAAAAATGATTTTTTAAAAATAAAATAATTTTTTTGAATATAAATATTTCGATTTTAAAAAAGATTTATTTGATTTTAAATATTATATTATAAAAAGTAATAAATAATTTCTTTTAAATAAACAAATTAATTTTTAAAAATATAAAAAATGTAATCAAATAAATTTTTGTTTTTTTTTTAAATAAGCAAACTGTAAAAAAATTATCTCGTAAAAAATAAATTATTTGTTTAAGAAATCATTATTTCATTTATTTGTAATAAAGTTTTTTTATTTAAGCAAAGAAATACCTTATAATAAATTTTTTTTTATTTAAGTATTTTGATTTTAAAAAAGATTTTATTCGATTTTTATTTTTCTTTTTCATATGTGAAAAAATTCAAATAAATAGTCAAATTTCCTGACTTTTCCCTGACCGCTAGGCACCCTAATAAGCTTAATTTTTGACAAAGACACTGTCATCGAAAATTCATCGTTCCTTTATAGAATGAATCGTGTTTGCAATCTGTCCCGAATCTCGGCCACGAAGAATCGACGAAGAGCAAAGGACGAACTGGTTGGCCCCAACACATGTGGGCCCTCGAATTGAAGCAAGAATCACCGACCAGCCAGATGCAATAAAATACAGCGAAGACACTCTTGTCAAAACATATCCACGATATTCGCAAAATATCGTTCGAAACGAGCGTTATTTTTTGCGCCTGACGCTTTTTACGATTGGAAAAAAATACGAGTCGCGATTTAATGATGCATCTTTCAGACATCTCATGGAACATCTAAGCGAGAAATATGAAGTTATAAGGACTCATAATATCTTGAATAAAATAATATTTTAAATGAAGCAATCATCTATAAAATCTCAGATTTTTTAAAAAAAAGTTAACCAATTGCGAAATGTATAATTAATAAGTAAAAAATTAGAATCGTTTGTATATAACGCGTTCGTAATTATTGTGCCTGTACATAGAATTTTGTTCCTTCTGTAGCGATCGATGTCTATACTTTGAACCAAAGAATATTATTTTATTGACGAATAATAAGCCTCAAATGTGATTGAGTTATAATATCAATAAGATCATAATTTTGATGCGAAAAAGATTAGATTTAAGAATCTCTGTAAAGTTTTGTATAAAGTATTATTATGAGAGAAAAAAATGTATAAAATGTCGCTAGCAATAAACAATGTATTATAATAAAGCACAACTTGCCTTACTTTGCTTATTTACTGCTTTACTTTAATTTTTTTTACAAATTATTTTAAGAACGTACATTTTTATTTTGAGTTTTTATCTTCAAAAAACAAAATTTTATTAATTGTATATTGAGATAAAAAAATTACAATTAATAGAAATTATCAATTAAAATAAATGACATGTTAATAGTATAAATACAATCACTTTCTATAAAAGATTTTTCTATTTTATATACTCTGTGTTATTTTTTATATTTAATTCTTTTTTATATTATAATGAAAAAAGAGAAGAGACTAATATATAGGCTAGAGAAATATTTTTCACATTTTATATTCTTCGTATTATTCGTCATATCAATAATTGTAATATTTCTATTACACAAGTCTATCTTCTCAATTGAATTAAAATTTTATAATTTTAGAACACCACTTTATATATCGTTTCGCGTATTTCTCTAGTTTACTATTGAAAATGTTTCTCTAAATAGAAGACCGTGAGAAATTCTCTTTCTCTATCTTTTTCTTTTATATTAGCTAACTTGTAGACGGAGAGCTCATTGTGTAGAGCGGCTAGGTTTCGAATTTCGTGGATACCCTGACGCCAGTACTTGATCCCATGTAACATGTCTGATACTTTACATGTAGACAATTTATGAAGAAAAAAGTGCACTTCCCTTGTACGTTAAGTAAATAGTCTTAGAATCTATTTAATCAACATCCATCTCATTTTCGTCGAATTTATTTTCGTCCTTATTTCGTGCAATATTCTATATATTAAAAAATCTTTTATCTGATTTTTTAGAAAAATTATTCTCAGGGTTATGTGATTATTTTGTGAGCATTAAAATTTAGAAATAATTCTATATTAAATAATTACAATTGTTTAATCAATTAATGTAATTAATTTAATAATTTACAATTATTTAATATAGGATTAAATGTAATATAGGATTTAATGAAAAATCGAAATCGATTAATTAATTACATTTAAAAAAATTTGTTAACTTGACCTTTCAACTAAATTACTATTTTGTTAAATCAACCTATATTAGTATTTAAGTTAAATACACGTTTTGTTAAATTTAATATGCTATATATTTAATTTAAATATTTTTATAGGTTCAATTAACAAAATAATATTTAGTTGAAACGTCAAGTTAACAAATTTTTTTTCAGTGTAATATTTTAATTTTATTCTCAAAAATCAGCTTTTTGACATAAATCAGCTGATAATTGTCAAAAATATTAATTCAATTTAAGTTATTGTAACATATTATTTTAAAACATTATCTTTGCTTTTGTAACATATATTATTAATGTAAAAATTTAATTAGCACATAAACACTTTAGATAACTGATGTTTCAAAAAAATATTAATTATCATTATAGAAATTTCGTCGCCAGATGGAATACTTGCGATCACATCTCTATGCAATCAATAATAATAATTTAAATAATTATTCAATATTAACATAATTGTAATCTTTTCCCAGAGCTATACGATTCACTTCGAGACTAAATATTTGCGATTGTCTTTGATCCGTCAATGTTCATCGCAGCCAAACAACGATGCGACTGATCAATCGAAGACGACATTGTCGATCTTGTGTATTGTACGCGAGTGATCGCGAGGTCCCGGATCGATATTACCGAGGCGATTGACGAGTCGTTTGTTTATCGCAACGAGTGGCATTATATTACATTGCGTGGCCGTCCATGGGACTTTGAGAATGTTAATAGTTTAGCCTCGCTGTGTTGCCTCGACGTAAACATTTCAACCGGCTCCTCTGCACGACGCTGACGAGATCTCATATTTTGTTATTCGAGCCTACATCTCTTTCTACGTCCAGTTATTGAGTCACGATACATATACAATCTAAGCGTCAAGTCGAACGATCATTGTACGCATCGAATTAATCTGTAGAATTATTTTAGTTCATGTAAAATTAACAGGGTTGGGTAATAACTAGTTAATTAGTTTAACTTGGCTTAGTTCATTTAAAATGTATTCATTTTTCACCTTAAACTTATTAACTTTTTTCCTAACAATAAGTTAATTTTTATGTCTGAATACCATTATTGTTATTTTATAAGTTATAAACATGTTATTTTTAAATTAAAATATTATTAATTTTTATGTTCATTTGTGATCATTTGTAGTTACCAAAAATATATTTCTATATAAAAATCAAAATTTCTTTGTTATTTGTTATTATATATTTTAAAAGAATTAACAAACAAAATTCTAATTTAATATAATTAATGTTTTTAAAAATTAACTTATGATTTAACTTCAGTTAATTTAATCTTAATTTAACTAAGTTAATTTTTTGTTCATACAACTTTTAACTTAATTAAATTAATTTTATAAGCAACTAACTTTAACTTAACTTAGTTTTGAAAAGTCATTAATTTATCTAACCCTAATTAAAAGTATGAAATAAAGTTCATCGCGCTTTGTTTATGTCGTATAATATTTTTAATTGGTTAAATTTTAATTTGATGCAGTAAAATCATGTAGATTTGAAGAAGAATCATAAGTTATAAAAATAATCAATATATTGAATCAAATTGTACAATTATTTCAATTGAAGTAAAATTGAATAAAAATATCACTTCTCGAAAATTTTCAGAATAAATTCTTGGAATAGCATTTTAGACTAAAAATATGAAATAAAATAATAAATATTTGATAAAATCGAATTATGCGAAGAATTATAAGAAAAAAAAGAAAGAAAGAGAGTGTCCCGTCCTATATTAGTCAAGAAAATATATCGCAGTAGATATTCCAAGTATCTCTTTCACGTGTCAGAACGTTAACCCTTCGCTCTCTAATGTTGACGTTCAATGTCAAGCATTTTATTCCCAATCCTATGTATACGCGATTTCACAGTCGGAATTGTTTGCAAATGTCACTGTTAAATTACTGCACGACTGCATGCAAACGTGAAAATTATTGCTAAATATTTATGTAATCCGTATCACGGATTAAAATGTCGACAAAGTATTATCGACTTGAAAGGGAAACGTAAAATACAATTTTGCTACTTCATTAAAATATTAAAAGTTTTATTTAAAAACACTAGGATTCTTGATATGTACTTATGATTTCAAAATTATTCATGTTTTGATATATAAGAATGTACACGGAGATAATTTTTTCTTCATTAAAATTTACACAAAAAATCATGATAATCGTAGAACAATATTGGAAGAATTTTATAAGAGTTTCTCTGATTAATATTAATTTTTGCTTTAATAAAAAAAATTATGTGTACATAGTAAATTTTACTATTTTACATTTACATGTTATTTTACATAGTAAATTCTTCCAATACTATATTGCCCCACAATTACCATGATTTTCAGGGTAAATTTTAAGAGAAAATTCTCTCTGTGTAAGAATGATTTCAAAGATTCGAGGTTGTAAAATAAATTGTCAAAGATGCTCTGTAATTATTTAATTTTAAGAGGCAGATCGCGCGCAAATTAATTACGATTTTAGTCGGATTTGTTTTCACGTGCACAAGGAACAATTTCTTTCGCCTCTCTTTTGGCTACCGACAGTGTTTGCTGTTATCTACATAAAATTATATAGATGATCATCTAGATAAAACTTTGACGTCATATTATCTTTATATAAATAATAAAAATATGATATCTGTATCTTAGATGAAAAAAATCTTTATTAAATTATCTAGAATAATTTTCAGATAATTTTGATTTAGAATCATAGCACATAAAAATACTTAAATATAGTAGAACTTAAGCAGTAAGCGATAAAAATTTATAAATAAAAATACATATATTTTTATATCCCTTTTATAATTTACATTTCTTTTTAATAACTGTCTTAAAAATTATTACCTAGAAAATTATCTAGACGAACCGCCATATAATTTTACTTTTTGTAGAGATATATTTAAAACAAAATCACATCTTCATCTTATCTTGGATGAATTTACTAAAGATAATTTTAAAATAATTTTAAAATCATCTGAGCACAACACTGGCTACCGAGAATAGCCAAAGTTCTTGTGGTACGGGAGTGTTTATATCGTGTACCGTCGGCCGCGGAGGAGGTGTTCTGGGCTTCGTCAGGGTAAGAGTTTACAAAGAGATGCCGATTCACCTTCCCTGCCCTCTTTCGCACCTATCCGACATAGCGCGTGTCTATTTTCGGTTTTTTGTCTGCAAAAAAGTACAATGGAATCTCTGATCAATCGCGTCTTCAGCCACCACAGGAAGAATAAATATAAGTGTAATATAGTAATGTAAGTGTAATATAAATATAATATAGTAATTTTGATACCAAAAAATTAATCTAATTTTAAAAAATTGAATTCTAAATGAAATTTGAGAATTAAATAAAGAATCGAAACTACATTCAAAAGAAGAAATTTTTTCTCGATTTTTTTAAAGATTTTAATACATAATATATAATTAATAAAAATAAAATAGAAAATATAAAAAAAAATCAATATAAAGGTTAATATATATTTTCCATTTAAGAAGAGTATAAAAAGTTTACCAATTATTAATTTATAAAAGAAAAATAAATAAATCGCGAGATATAGTGGTAACTTTAGAACATTATTATTCAATCATACGCTCAATAATTGTAAAACAAAAATATTAGAAAAATTCAAAAGTAGATTAACACAGAGAAATCCCTGAAATTTTATTTGAAACTTGATAGAGACTTCATACTAATTTTTGTCAATTGAGAAAATTCTAAGCAGACACATGTGCATGCGAGTGATGGATCGTTAATTCAAAGTAATGGTTTGCACGAACAGATAAGACCGAAACAATGGTCATCGTAAACCACCACAGAATGCGCAGTAATTAGATTATACCAGATACGAAGCATCCCCTGGCGATATCTCATGTGAAGATTTATCTCTTTTACGTGCGTTTCGGTCAAATCAAACTTATCGTACCTCATGATCATCCATCTGTTCCCAGAATCCCATTTTATGAAATCAATTGAGAATTAATGTTTCTCAGCAGTAATACAAATTCTGTCATTTTTCTTAGCTTTTTTCACTATTTCTCAATTAAATATCAGAGAAAATTTTCTTTCAGAATTTACACTAAAATTATGATAATCGTGGGACAATTGGAAGAATTTTATAAGAGTTTTTCTGATTAATATTTGCCACAATAAAAAATATTAATATCTACCACAATAAGATATCAAATATGTTCGACTAATTTTACTACGTACATATTAATATTTTTTATTTTTATTACGGTAAATATTAATCAGAGAAACGTTTATAAAATTCTTATTATTATCATCCCACGATTACCATGATTTTCAGAGTAAATTTTAAGAAAAAATTCTCTCCATACAGATTTATTTACCATAGAGTTAATGTTAATCAATTGATAAGATTTGCTTTAATTATCTTTCCTCAATCCGCGAATGGGGAGTTTTGCGACCCGAATAAGGAATCGAAAAATGTCGTCACGTGGGAAGATTTCAGTTTGGCAGATGCAAGTGCTCTTACACTGTGTCTACCAAATACGCATTGCGATAAAAAAGTATGAAGCAGACGTTTGTTTGCTTTGACAAGTATCGAAAGTAGCGGAGTACGCGTATAAAACGAATGAACACTTAAATCTCACTAAAAACCACGACATCCATGTGTGAAGCCGCCCCCTAATTGCGCGTTTCGAATAAGATGGATTCACTGCACATACATATATGTACACTGAAAAAAACTATTGATGAAAAATTTATGTTAAATTTAACAGATATCACAGATGCTCCAAACAGTTCACAGAAATTTTTGTGTTAATTTAACATAATATGAATATGTTAAATGGAGACACAAAAATACTGTGTTAATATTTTAACACAAAATAAATGCAAAACTTCAAGTAATTTAAAATAAATTTTGTGTAAAATTAACATATTTTTAGTTAATTTTTACATTAAAACTATGTTAATTTTACACTAAACTTATTTTAAATTACTTGAAGCTTTGCATTTATTTTGTGTTAAAATATTAACACAGTATTTGTATCTTCATTTAACATATCCATATTATGTTAAACTAACACAAAAATTTCTGTGGATCGTAAATTAAAATTAACATTGTAAAATTAACATAGTTTGAATGTAAATTTTAGATTTTATCATCCTCACTGATATTATAAAATAAAAAAATCTACATTTTTTCCTGTAAATTGTAACAGACAAATCTTGTAACTAATAAAGCAGAACATATTTATTGCGTAAAATTAAAAATAGATGCACATTGTGTTATTTTTAATTTTTGTCAGTTGTTTTAATAATTTAAGATTTAAGTTCAATTAACAAATCAGTAATAACATGAATGTGTTAAATATTTAACACAAAAATTTTAACGGGGACCGTTTTTAACAAGAAAACACAAATTTTTCTACTCAAATAAATATTTACTTAAATAGTTCCATTTACACATTTGTTTGAAACAAATAAATATTTATTTAAAAAAGGATTTCTTATATCAAATAAATATTTTTCTGCAGCAAATCAATATTATTAGTTTCAAAAAAATAATGCATAAAATAGCATTGAAATAAATATTTATTTGAATAAGTAAATAATTTTTTCAGTGTACGAATTTTTCTGTCCCAAAAACTATGTATATATAGTAGCAGCGGAATTTTAAATCCTCGATCAATTTGCATTTGATTTGATTATTACAAAGATAAGATATTGACATTTTGCGATGATTGATTCTATACGGCTTATCTTGATTTTATTCTAATTATTGTTAAATAGTTTGGTTATATCTTGCTATATGGATAATAATGTGAAATATAATATTTATAATAAATATATGAGAAATCTATTCATATTATATGAACATCATAATATAAAAATTTTAGTATTTGGAAATAAATGAGCTTAAAAAATAAAGAGATATTTTATATGATATAATAATTATAATTATAAACGTTTTGCTTTAATGATCTTGCGTAAATTAATAAATTATATTATTTAATAATTTAATAAATTAGATAAATTCTCAGTTTTTTATTCCTCAATCATTCAACTAAAATTATTTTAATAATATAAAAAATATGTATATGTTTTTTATTATCTAATTATACATATAATAGCTAACCAGCATAAAATAAATAAATAGTTCTATTATTAGTGTTAATAATAAAAATTTTAAAAGTACAGTGATGGAAACAAGTAATTAATAATAATTAATTAACTCATTTGAATTATAAGAAATTAAAGCAGTTAATTTGTATATCCAAGATAACACGTAATTAAGTCAACCTTTCCGAGTTTCATTCATTACTCACGCGCGTCTTTTTTCAGTAGCAAGTGCATAAATAATCTATTAAAGTTAATATAAGGTATAAAATAAATAATTCACTAAAGATAATAAATTAATGCATATGTTCGCGTATTTGCGCGGATTTTAATATTCCTTTTCCGAAAACACGACGCGATCGTATACCGTAATGCGACTTTGCTCGGTCAATCCAGTGTTTTTATACAAGAGAGAGAGAGTGCGAAGAATGTGAACTCATTGATCCCTGAATTAAGCCGGCGAACGACAAGTTAAATCCAAGACTAATCGTTCGTTCAATCGGACGCCAGGCGGCCGCAATCATTTGTTACGCAGCGTGGGGTATAAAAGATACGCACGAGAAAAATAGGATTTGTTAAAAAAAGAAAAAAGTACGATGCTTACAATCGATTCGTTGTCGTAAATTTATGAAATAAATGCGCGAGTATTTTTCAATTATTGCGTAAGTTTATGGACTTTTAATTTTACTTCGAAAAAATTATTTTCATAAAAAAGATAATATATTGTATATAGCTTATATATATAATATAAAAATAAAAATACAACAGTTTTCATATATAATTTAACTAAATAAAAATAGATATTAATATATGATTAGTGAAGTAAAAAAATTAATCTAACTCTTTTTTCTTCTTTTATTAATATTTAAAAAAATTCGTTCTATATATGCATCGAGACACACGGATTACGAATGTGCAATAATTAAATTTATTTGCGAGGTAGAATAAAACCCGCACTGGAAAAAATGACTAAATTAATACATATTTAGTTCAATACTACCAAATGAATTATCATTTATTTGAAACAAATAAATATTTATTTGTTTTGAAAAAGATTTTCTTATATCAAATAAATATTTTTCATATCAAATAACTATTATTAGTTTCAAATAAATGATTTATTTGGCACACGGAGAGAATTTCTCTTAGAATTTACCCTCATTGTAATCGTAAGATAATATGGTGCTGGAAGAATTTAATAAAGGCTTCTCTGATTAATATTTACAATAAAAAATATTAATAAGTACATAGTAAAATTAATCGAGTGTATTTTTATTGTAAAAAATATTAAACAGAAAAACTCTCATAAAATTCTTCCAGTACCATATATTGTCCCACGATTACCATGATTTTTAGGATAAATTCTAATAAGAGAAAATGTTCTCTGTGTAGTATTGAAATAAATACTTATTCGAATTAAATAAATTTTTTTCAGTGCGTTTCTATTTTCGACACCACACATCTCCATTGATTGAAAGAAAATAAATGAAAATCACGAGTGATTTTCCAGCGAAGAAGACGAGGACAGAAATCAGCCCGCGCGTGGGCGTTTCAGGACTCGGGTCGCGTGTTTCAGGAACTTCATTGCGTATGTAGGACAGTCATCCCCGCTTCAAATGGAGACGAATCGCTTCTCGCACCCGGCAATCGTGATTATTCTCGGGGGTTGCGCAGAAGAAGCTAGAGACAATGAGATGGGAAAACAACGCCGACGTAGCTAGCTTGTCGTTCGCCAGTCCTATAAAAACCCGGAGGACGTTGGTCGTCTCGACATTACTCGGCCAGATAGTCCTGTCGATTGATCCGAGATGAAAGTCACCGTGAATCCCGTCTGCGCCCTGGCGTTGCTACTCTGCTTGACGTTTCGCGCTTCCGGCGAATATTCCGGTAATATCCGATCTCCTGCTTGCGATAATAATTAAAGCGATTACAATCTCTCTCTCTCTTGTGTTGTTTTGATCGTGCGCTCGCAGAATTGAGAGAATTGGCGAACGGATCAAACGATGGCAGAACGCCGAGCAACTTCGGTTCCTGCATCGAGGGAAAGTGCATCAAGCGCGCGCAGGAAGTCAGCGGCATGTGGTTCGGTCCACGATTGGGAAAACGACACAGACCTGACGAGAAGCAGCTGATTAATCCTGAGATGCTAGTGAATTCTCTGGACCAACCTGGCGTGCGCTGGGCCGTCGTCGCGATTCCGAGTGAGTGTCGAGATTTTTTCTCCAAAGCGGGGCCGATCAAACTCTCACTTTTTAATTAATTTATTGATTTGTATATTGAAAAAAAATTTATTTATTTCAATACTGCCAAATAAATTATTTATTTGAAACTAATAATATTTATTTGATATAAAAAAATTCTTTTTAAAACAAATATATATTTCTAGTTTTTGCTTTGATCAAATAAATATTTATTTGTTTCAAATAAATGATTCATTTGGCAGTATTGAACTAAATATGTATTAATTTAGTCATTTTTTTCAGTGTATTACTTTGATATTATTTTTGAGATTTTTTCTACACTGAAAAAAAGATTTGTTAACTTGACTAAACCTTTCAACTAAATTTATATTAGTTTGTTAATTGAACATACAAAAATATTTAAATTAAATGTAACATATTAAATTTAATAAAACGTATATTTGACTTAAATACTAATATATGTTCAATTAACAAAATAGTAATTTAGTTGAAAGGCTTAGTCGAGTTAACAAATTTTCTTTCAGTGTATTTTGCAATTTTACTAAATATATAGTATAGTTGGATTCAGTCAATTCAATATAATTTTGCAAATAAAAGTTTGCACTGGGGAAGAAAAACTTGTTGCATTAACAAAAATTCTGTTCGATAATGAACGAAATAGAATTACTGGTTGAATCTACCAAAATTCCTTTTAATGCAACAAGCATTTTGTTGTGCAAACGAGATGCACTTGCTGCAACAGAAGGAATTCTGGTAGATTCAACTAGTAATTCTGTTTCGTTCATTTTCGAACAAAATTTTTGTAAATGCAGAACCAGTTTTTTTAGTGAGATTGTATAATATTATTATATTCTAAAATTTTCTCATACACTAAAAAAATAGTTAACTTAACCGTTCAACTAAATAATATTTTGTTAATTGATATAAAAATATTTAAATTAAATATATAACATATTAAATCTAACAAAACATATATTTGACTTAAATACCAATATATATTCATTTAACAAAATAATAATTTAGTTGGAAGGTTTAATCAAGTTAACAATTTTTTTCGGTGTATAAACTGTAAATGACTTATTTTTTACTAATTTTTTTCCTGTAAATTCTATTTTGAATGTTTAGTTCTAAAATTCTATCGAATTAAAAAAAATTAAATTCTTGTAATATTTCGTATCTGTACATTTTTTTGATGTTATCTAAATTTTTAAAAATTTTCCTTTTTTTGCGTTCGAACTAAAAATAATAGCTGGATTCAATCTAATATATTGTAATTTGCGAACAAAATTTTGAGATGGTATAATATTATTAGATTCTAAAATTTTCGTCAAAATTTTCTCATATTAACTGTAATTTCCCACTATTTGTTTTCCTGAAAATTTTGCTTTGAACTCTAATTCTATGGAATTTCGTTAAAAAAAATAAAATTAATTTATTTTAATATTTTCTGAATAACTTCTTTATTGTCGAATTATATAATTCGTCAATTTAGAATTCGAAATTCTTATATTTTCCTTCTATTACTCGATCTTTTTTCCTTCACAATGATGACTATCAAGTACAAATTCTAGCTAATGAAAAGAGGCAACCGCAATTTATACCGCGCTTGGGACGAGGATCGGAAGAGGACTTATTCTCTTACGGCGATGTGACAGACAGGAATGAGCTCGACGATGACGAGCCGATGATACCGCCGATATTCGCGCCGCGTCTAGGGCGTCGCGTTCCCTGGATACCGTCGCCGAGACTCGGACGTCAATCACGCAGCGTATCGCATAAAATGTAGGTATCCATGACAAGAGGCAGATCATCGAAAATTGCGAGAAAAGAGTGATCACTTAGTAAAAAACCTATCCAATTGTGAGAATTTCAACGAAGCGTCAAACAAAATTATAGTATAATACTATATTAAGATATAAAGAAATAAAGTACTTACGTTTATTTGTATTTCGAAATTGGCTGTTATTCCTTCAGCATCCTCGCATCCCAAGTTATGCATACATTTTATGTTGTTTCTTATTTATTTATTATTATTGATTTTTATTATTTAATTTATTATGTTTAAATTACTATATTGGAGACATTGAAAAAAATTATTAACTTGACAATAAGTACTATTTTGTTAATTAAACATATTTCAATTATAAAAATATTTCAATTAAATATAACATTAATTCTAACACACAAAAATATAATTGAATTAAATACTAATATATGTTTAATTAACAGAATAGTAATTTAATTGAAAGGTTTAGTCAAGTTAATAATTTCTTTTAATGTACGTAAATAGATATCTCAACCCTTAAAGTAAAGAGACAATCATTTATTCTAGATAGTAAAGAGATAATGATCTATTCTATATATTATAATTACTTACTACTTACTGTGTATTTATATTTTAGATCGTATAGATATATTTTAGTCTCTAAATGAGAATTTTATTTCGAAACTCTCTAATGCTAAATATAATGAAAAATAATAATTAAAGAGAATACGTTGTAATTAAAGAAGATTCTCTTGTAATAAAAGTACATAATTTATATTTTAAGCACTGTATTGTGTTAAACATAATGTTAAAACAACATTTTTTGAAGAGAGAATTCATATATAAGAAAATAAAATTAATGCATTGAAAAATGGTTGATTAACTTGACTAAACCTTGTAACTAAATATTATTTTGTTAATTGAACATATAAAAATATTTAAATTAAATGTAACATATTAAGTCTAACGAATCATATATTTGATTTAAATATTAATATATGTTCAATTACCAAATAGTAATTTAGTTGAAAGGTCAATTTAACAAAAGTCAATTTAACAAATTTTTTTCAGTGTGCGTAGAACTTCAGAATTTTTAATAAATGTAAAGCTTTTTTTAAACAAAGGCATATTTTTCTAAATATGCAATATGATATACTTAATAGATAAAAACATAATACATATTAAAAATATATTTTTTAGTTTTAGAAATTTTTTACTTTGAATAAAAGTAAATTTCTTTTCAAACCAAATATTTTCGTATTAGCAAAAAAATATTTCTTTTAAAATTCGTGTTTGAAATTTATCTACTACGTTAAAAAAATAAATAAAAAAAAGATTGTTATGCACATCCCAAAAAATTTATCGAAATATTAAAAATATATTTTTATAAAACAGAATGAATAATTTTATTATTAGAATCAAGAAATAATTAAATATATAAATGATGAAATAATAAATGAAAATTATTGTATATTATATAATTAAAAATAATAAAAACTTTAATAAATATACGAAAAACGATGTCTTCTCATCATAATCGATTTTCAGCAAAAGAAAAGTCTAGGAATGAAATAGAGTGTACATTGCAAGTTTACACAGGGATACACGGAGGATCGTAGACGCTATTTTCAGCGTCTATGAGAAGGGTTGAGATATCTCTTTCAAGAGGAAGTAAGACGGTGGAGAAAGGAGCAGGGTGCCGAACTATATAGTAATTTCTCGACCGGAACTACCGGTGAGCCATGTGGTAACATGGAAAGACAGTCATAATCGTAAAACTTGAAAACGACGGCGGAGCAGATACAAGTTAGTTAGCTTCTAATCCTCGCTTTTACAGCAGTACTGTATATCGAGGATCGCTCGTAAAACGTGACAAAAATGTTTTCGATGAGTTTCAGAATATTAACGATGCTCATGCCGACATATTATACAAATTTGTAGATAATATAAAAAATATCTTTACATGTACTTACGCTGAAAAAAATTGTTATCTTGATTAAACCGTTTAACTAAATTATTATTTTGTTAATTGAACATATATTATAGTATTTAAGTCAAATATACAGTTTGTTAGATGTAATATGTTATATTTAATTGAAATATTTCTATATGTTCAATTAACAAAATAATATTTAATTGAACGATTTAGTCGAGTCAACAAATTTTTTAAAAAATATTTTGGAGAAAATATTCTTCTTGAATATGATAAAAATATGCATGTTGAATATGATATACATGCATAAATAAAACCTAATTAAATATATAATAAATTTGTTTTTCTAACGTGCGTTTAAATGACATTACATTAGAATTTTTATTAAACACTTGATTGTTAAAATATTCGACGTTGCAAATTTTCGATAAAGAAAAAGATCTATCAAAAAGATATTAATTGTTAAATATTGAGTTGTACGTTTACTCTATTAAAAATTAAAAAATTGTTTTAAATGTATATTTAACATATTTTTATATATTAATATATATTTTGATAAAAGTTGATTCCAAAATAATTGATTTTTTTAGATACGCCAAAAAAATAGAATATATCGTGTAAAGAATAAAATTATTTTACATAAAATCAATTCATATATATGTATTATATATATAAATGGTTTGCTTTTTGAAAATAGGTATATTCTAGACGTAGTAGGTGATTTATGAGATAACGTCTGTGTAACAAAGTAAAATTCAAAGAAAGGACTTTGATGATTGCATGTATACAAATGCTATACGTATATACAAAGTAATACTAAATCATTGCAGATAAATAAACAATTCGTGTGCAAAGATCGTGCACGTTATAATATATGTACTTACGTGATGATAAATCAGAGATTAAAAAATCAATATAATTAAAGCGCATTAAATATTGCGCTTTCTAAAAATATTGCAGTACACATTTTTATTCAGAAATATTTCCATTATTTTTTTATATCGAGCTCTCTGATACCAAATAAATATAACGATAGCTTTTCTGTTTATTGCACTATGGACTCACTGAAATTATATCAGTTGTGCAATTCTCTTCATAAATATAATTTCACTCACCGAAGCTGCTTCAGCGTCGTCGACTTTTTTGATTCTGCCGTTGGCGCCAACTCGCGAAACCGCACAAGGTTAACTCCGCCGAGCCGCATCAAGTACATTCGTCCTAGAAACGAAAGCAGAACACCACGACTATTAATTAATTACTGATTAACGTGTTACAACTGTTATTCGACATTTCCGACAATTATTTGCACGCGCAAATCACTTTAGTAAACAAAAATGAGAGAAATTCGCGCACCGACTTCAACACTGCGATTATAAATCGACGCAGCACCAAACAAACATGGCGGCTGCGCACGCGCATATAGTAGCGCGCATGTAAATTTTGGCGCGTTTTTTCAATATCTTCAATTTTCAATTATTATAAAATTATTTACCAATTATACATATAATTATACAATAAGAAAATAACAATATATATATATATACACATAATAAATAATATTAACACATTTTAATATACATTTACGAATATAATAATTAGAATAAACGTGTAGGAAAAATAAATGATAAATTTTAATTACGAGTTATCACAAATATATTTCTTTAATAGTTTACATATATTTGACTGTATATCATATATTTTTCCAAAAATATTTATCATATATCTTATTTATTTCACCTTATCCACTCTTTTGTACTCAATTGTATAAAATAATTATTATACAAATATAAACAATAGGAATGTGTATTTGTACATTCAATTATGCCCTTGTAAAATATTATATTGTTGTACACAGTTAAAAGAATTTATTTTAACCCTGAATCGTTTCTTGCAGTAGTTTTTCAAGCTTGCGCACATCAATGGCAAATTTGCGAATGCCCTCGCACAACTTGTCAGTTGCCATTTGGTCCTCGTTTAAGAGCCATCTAAATTCTGCTTCATTTAAGCTGATCTTTTGGAGATCGCATTTTTTCGCTGATTCTACAGTTAAAACTTTGCGAACAGGCTCGTTGCTCTCCTCTAATTCCTCCAATAATTTCGGACTTATAGTTAGGAAATCACAGCCTGCGAGTTCTCTAATTTCACCTAATTATCAAGATAATTAAATTAAAAAATAGTAAAGTTAGATAAAATAACGCAGTATTACATTTTATATTACATTTCTAATAGCGAATTCGATTGGATGCACTAGTGCGCACTAAGTGCATATAAAGGTTTATTACTCACAAGTTTACAATGACAAAAGTAATTAAAAAAGGAAAATAATTAATAGTAAGAGCCATTATTATAGTTCAATATGAATGATAATATAATAGCTTTTACTATTATATTATTTTACTTTTTGAATTATTTTTATGCCATTGTAAAATTGTGTGCGATAACCTTTATCTGCATTCAGTGCGCACTAATGCATCCAACCGAATTCGCTATAAGATTATGAAAAATAGTTTATATACATCAAAAAATTACATAATTTAAATACTTGCCAACGTTTCTAAACGAAGCACCCATTACAACTGTCTTATAGCCAAATTTCTTGTAATAATTGTAAATTTTCGTTACAGAAACGACACCTGGATCTTCCTTTGCTTCATATGTTTTCTTATCTGTATTTGCTACATGCCTAAATAAATAATTCTGTTTTTACTTTTAATTCATGTAAATTTATAAACTGATAAATGACACTGAAACGTTTACCAGTCCAGAATTCTTCCAACAAATGGTGAAATGAGAGTGACGCCAGCTTCTGCACAAGCAACAGCTTGCGCAAAGGAAAATAATAATGTCAAATTGCAATGGATCCCATATTTTTCCTCCAATTCTCTAAAACAAAAAGGAAACAATTATTATTACTTATTAATAAAACATTAATCAAACATAAAATGCATATATTTTAATTTTATTGATTGCTTACTTTGCTGCTTGGATGCCTTCCCAAGTTGATGCAAGCTTAATCAAAATACGTTCCTTGCTTACTCCAAGTCCTTCGTACAAAGCAATCAATCTTTTCGCCTTCTCAATGCTGGCTTCCTTATTAAAGGATAATCTGGCATCTACTTCTGTAGAAACTCTTCCGGGGATTATATTCAAGATTTCTTTGCCAAATAGAACACATGTAACATCGAGGGCTGCTTCAACTTGCTCAGCCAAAGTACTTTTAAAATATTAAGTAATATTAAAACATTATGAATATTAATGTTAAAACTATTTAAATATAATTTTTAATAATAAAAAAACTAAGAAATTTACATAAATTAATGTCAACAACAAATATGTATACTTACGATCCAGATTTTTTGCCACATTCAGCAGCTTTTTCGATCAAATGAGCATACTTTTTTTGATTAGCAGCAGCAAGAATCAACGACGGATTTGTCGTTGCATCTGTAGGCTTAAATTGCTCCATAGCTACAGCGAGTAATAATATAATATCGTTTGTGATGTTAATATATATTATATATATATTGTTAGTTATAATTACTTTCTCTTCATTATTTTTTAAATTATTAATTTACTTTTATTCATATTCGTTATCAATTGTTCATTTGATAGCTTGTTCAAACATTTCCATTCCAGAATAAGAATGATGAATGTATTATTTTTAGAGGTCACTACTGCTCAAGGCAAGGGTCACGTTATTTCGAATGTGCACTGATACGCGTTTTATCAGTTGCACAGCAAAATCTATGCGACATCGTTTGATTTTTCGACCATGATCCCATATATATCCACGTGAAGTCTGTGTGACAATTTTAAATTTACAAGAACTTAAATAAAATAAGCTCAAAAAATTAAATTATCATCAATATAATGAACACGCATTATTCATTATAAAAGATAAATTTGTCATAGTCATAAGAAAAAAGTTTCTCAGCTTTCAGACAAGATCATCAATATACACGCGCCATATTAACATATTATTTTTGTATAAAATCATGATGTAAAAAAAGTATGAGCCATAAAAGTCGCACGCATCTTGATTACAAAATAATAATGATAGAATGATAATGTCAAGGTAATTATAATTTCTGACTTAAAGCAAAACATTTCGATGGATTATACTAAAAATCTTATAAATATATATAATAAAATAAATATATCAAATATATCGACACTTTGGACGATAATCGATAATTATATATTAGTCTTTTTTTTATTCCATATTTTTTTATTCACTTGTGTAACAAAGTAATAAAATTCAGTCATAAAATGATATTTGAATTGATCGATTACTTAGAGAAAATTTTGTATATCTTTAATTAAATTCGTAATCATCCAATGTATAATTATTCATTCACGCTTTTTAATAGCTTTTTGTTCGCCTCCGATATCGCACGATGTTGATATCGGGATACACGCGCAAGTAAACAGATTTCGATATATCTCTTGTTAAAGTGACTTCGAGAAATAAATTTCATAATCATTACGCGATTCGAAGAATCACGTGAGACGTTCGTAAGAAAAAAAATGTGCAAGCGTTGCAAAATTTTCTCTCTCCTCTCGACCCCCTGGTCTAAACTTTACGTGTAACCTACCTTAACCTCTGAACGAATTCGAATTTCGACGTGATCTTACCGTGAAAGTCGCCGGTGTCGGCGACGACCGTCGTCAGCTCCTTCAGTTGATTCAACGAACTCATGATCTTCGCTTTCTTCGACTGGGACTCGCTCATAATCGTCGTACGTATTTATGCGGCCACAAGATGAAGTCTCGCGTCTCACTCTAACGTCGTGTCCTCGGCGTGTCAGGCTGGTCAACTGCGTAAAATCAAATTTATGAACGGTCACGTGATTTGGCGGGAACTTTTAATAGCCGCGATTTGACACGTGGAACGAATATAAAACTGTAATTGAATTATTCAACTATAATTGAGATACTCAGTTTATGTAAATGAGAACGAGAAATATCTGCAGTTATGATTAAATTTCACAAATTAAATATGTCAATTAAAATTAAAACTTGATTCAATTATAGAATTTTCATGTAATGTAAAGTTAAAAAAATGTATGCACATAATTACATCTTACATTTAATACAAAATCTCATGATTTAATTTTATTTTGAATATATTTAGATAGATTCTTATCATTGTTTTATTAGAGCAATGCACTCAAAAAATATATTCTTGCTTATTTCACTATTCCATTAATTATTCAGTCAAATAAAATGTATTTGAGAGATTTAAAAATTCAAAATAAATTTTTGATTAGTGTCATCACATTGTGTTCCAAAAGTTGCAAGCTTTTAATTTTAAAGGAACAAAAATTTTGATAGAAACAGTATTTATTAAAATCTACTTAAGTACATAGTGTAAATATAACTTACTGATCTATTTAATATACTTTAATTGAATGTATGCGAATGTGTTCAAAGCTATTGTTATATAAAAATAAAATCAAGTCTTCGTAAGTGAATAGTAAATAGTATCAACGTTTTGTATCTACAATAATCCAATAAACTTATTACAATGTGTGTATATATATTATATATATATATAATCTCACTTTAATTTCTATGTTATTCATTATTTGTGTAAAATCTGACTATCACAAAAGAGATAAACACCGGAATCAAATATAAAAACATGATTGCACTTATGATTCCTTCATATATACAATTGCATTTTACGATAAAAGATATTATCGAAGTTACACACTGTTTCTTTTTTATACAAATATCATCTTCATTCTTTTTAAATATCTTTTTGTTGTTTCTTTATTTAAATCGATCAACATTGATCCTTAAATTTGTTTCGCCTTTTAAATTGATTCTATCTTTGATAAAATCATCACGCTCAATTGCACAAAAACTACATATCACCAAGTTAACGTTAATTAATGAGAATTGTTGTGAAAACTTGTAAAATCGACTATTAATGTTATATCGAGAATAAATCTCGTATTTTCACTACTGTCAGACTTTTTCAGAAGATGTATGCTTATCGAGAGATACAATTTTCGGTTGATGACCATAAAGGAAAATTGAGCATATTACAAGGAACGCACCTAAAGTGAATTGAAATGATAAATGGAAGTCGAACAGATAAATGGAAGCTATGCAAGAGATGATGATGGCTAGAGACGTGGCGAAACCCTTCAATATATTGTCGGCATACTTAACTACCATGGCTACGATCAACCCACCGCCTGCTTGCAAGATCACCAGATAAATTATAAATAGATCATAGCCAAAAAAGAAGCCCTGCTTGTGTATGATATGACCATCTTGCAAAAACACGTGCCTAAGCCAAACGGTATGGATAACACGCTCAATTGCACATTTCGCATCCACACAGAGATGTCAGAACCTTTGAGAATTTTTTCGAAATAGATCCCTGCGAAACCGGATAGAACACAAGCACTCAGAGCAGCGGAGAAGCCTACCCAATGATTCTGTTCGATACCAGAGGGTACAGATGCTTTCACACTTTGAGCCAATTGAACGAGAACCACTCCTATGACCAAAAGCACTAGAGCACTCCACTGAGTTGTACGTAAAGATTTACGTAATATCGTCATTGCAAAAAATGCTGTTGTCAAAATTTTTAATTGATATGTAACCTATAGAATATATATATATATATTATTCGTTTTAAATGTATTAATATAAAACTACTTTTTTAATAGAAATGTTTTAGTTTGAATATACATCTTACCTGATGCGTAGCTGCATCCAGATTAGATGCAGACACATAAAGCAAATTGTTTTGTATAATATACAAAAGGGATGGCACACAAACTTTCAGAGTGTCGATAGGCTGCTTCACGATTGTCATATGTAATGTTTTGTAAAATTTCTCAAAGCTTCCTTCTTCGATGTATACCAATACCAGACAGGTAAACAATTTTACTACTTCTGCCATCACAACAGCTAGAAAAAAACAGACAATATTATAGCAAATACAATAAGAATTTTTTGTCAACACAGAAGATGGTATTTTTATTATTGGCATTTACCAGTCGAAGATAGAAACATATCTCCTGCTCTAGTGCGCGAATATCGCATGCTGAGACCAACCATAGCATTTTGAAGCGTGAGAGTAATTAAGCTCACATACTTCAATGTTTGTATAGTTTCTGTAACAAATATTTAAAGTGTGCCCATTTATATCAAAGTTATCCATAATTTTCATATACTATCATTTTTATACATATTTATGATATACTCACTTTGTGAAGTTTTATTCATGTTGATGATAGATTTGTTTCGTGAAATAACTTACAAATATTTTTCCACAAACTACATTTTTATTAAAAATACAAGAAACAAATAAGTTTTTCAAAGAGCATTTGAGTATCTTCAAATCACAAGCAGTTCTGCCTAAAATAAAAGACAAATATCATTTATATCTATATAAATATTATTTTACCTATTATTTTCAAGGAATAAAACTAATTATTAAAAATATAAATGTAATAAAAGAATAAATTATTCACAAAAGTATATATAAGAGTATAGCAATGTGTCTGTGATAACAAATAATAATTTTCAATTCAGGATCATAAACGATGTCTTCTTTAAGACATTATGCATATTAGTGTTAAGATAATTAGAATAGAAATTATGGAAAGACAAACATAATTTTTTAATTGCTGTCTTTACTTGGACACATTGACTTTGTTTTGACAGCCAAACGATTTTTGACAAACAAGTTAAAAAATTAAATAATTCTCACGTGAAGATCTAGCAAAGGAATAATGCGTTAGGCGAAAAAGTTGATTAATTATAATATAACTTTCACTGATGGGATGCACACCATTTGTGAAATTTTTGCCCACGTTGAACTGACACGTTGAATATTCGTGCTTCCAAAGAATGCCCTAGTTATTTCCTATCGATATCATTTTCGATTGGCTTCGATTGGCCTTGTGGCCTCGTTATTTCCTGTTTACACCTAATTAAATTTAAATAACAAAATAAATTTCATTATGCTTTTATTATAACATATTACACGTCCACCGCATTTTATATTTATATATAAAATAGATTAGACAGATAACTGAAGATAATAATGTATCTGTATTGAACGATAATCTAACTTCATTCATTGGTTTTAAAAGAATTAACCAATTGTATTTACAATCTATTTCAAGATTGTTCGGACATGACATGAGAAGAGCCTTAAAAATAATTCATCACTTGACGTGAACTTATTATTATATTTAATTATATATTGCACAATATAATATACAAATATTTAAAAGAAATTTTTAAAGATATAATTATTTATCCATTAATAGCATGACCATAAATTATATGATTGCGAGAGTCCACGGATAAATTGAGACTAAATTTGTCCACGTTTCCAATGACCGATTTAAAATGAGACTCTCTTATTGGTCAATCGTTTTTACTTATCCAAAACATCGAGCGATGTAATTGGCTGCGCCATTTGCAAATGTAGGAAGTGGTTTTTTAAATGTCACGTGTTAAAACAAAAAGAACTTTCGCACATCTAAGTACATTTATAGTCGATGACTATGAAAAACAACATGAAGGATGATAAATAGTGGACAGTAGTTGAGAAGAAAAAACAGAAAGAGAAGTAGACGTAATATTTATCCATTTTGCACAAATATTTTATAATTGTAGAAAGAGGGCTATCGCGATCATGTCTATGGTAATTATATACATTTTTTAATATGTTGTGATAATTATAAATATTATCATTTAATCCATATTTAATCCATTTATACAAATCTTAATTTCTTAATATTCATTTTCAGTTTGTTATTGACATATTAATTTTATGATGAATTCTGAAGAGTTCTTTCGTTAGCAATTATATTGTAAAAAATATAAGCAATCTATCTCGTAAAATGCTTATATTTCACATGTAATTATATTATCAGAAAAACACATCTTTCTCTAATAAAATGTATTTTTTTTATAGCGACCTGATGATCACAGGAGGAAATGGAATCGAGAGGAATATGAAAGAATTGCACTTCAGAGACTTCAAGATGAGATCGCGGAGGAAGAATTGGGACTTCCCAAACAACCAGCAGTTAAGAGAGAATTGCTAAAACAGAGAGATTACAAAGTTGATCTTGAATCAAAATTAGGAAAAAGTGTTGTCATCAATAAAAATACACCATCATCACAAACTGGAGGGTAAAATTCAGTTCTGAGATATCAAGACCTATCTATATATGCAATCTATGCAATATAATAAATCCAAATAACTCAATATGCAAAACTGTTCTTTATAAAATATTTTCTTATTATAAAACAATTCTTTTATTGACACATTATCAATTACAATTATTATTGTGCTTCTGTTCATAGATACTATTGCAATGTCTGTGATTGTGTTGTCAAAGATTCCATTAACTTTTTGGATCACATCAATGGAACAAAACGTAAGTTTAAATATTTATATACCAATCATATATAATTAAAATTTAGAGTTTTTATGTCGATTATAACTTTATATATTATTTCCACAGATCAACGTAATCTGGGTATGTCTATGAAGATAGAGCGTTCCACATTGGATCAAGTTAAAGCAAGGTTTGCACAAAACAAGAAGAAACTCGAAGAGAAGAAGAAGGATTATGATTTGGAGCAGAGAGTGAAAGAACTAAAGGAAGAGGTTTGTTTCTATTTAAAATCATGATTGAAGCAATTATCTCATTCACTGTGTAATTTATTAATAACATTATTTCTATTATTCACAGGAAGAGAAGATCAAAGAATACAGAAAGGAGAAACGAAAAGACAAGAAAAGAAAGATTGAGGAACTAGCGGATGATGATGCAGGACCTTCCGATGAAATGGCCTCAATCATGGGATTCTCTGGTTTTGGTTCGAAAAAGAAGTGACAAACTATTTCCGTCTAAATAGTTTACTATCTGTGAGGAAGAGAATGTTAGTTCTTTAAGAAAGAACTGCTGATATCATTTGAGGACAGTTGATGAAACAGTGAACAGTTTTAATTCCAGTTATTGGAATTTAAGGATGCAATTGACGAATGTAAGTGTGTCTTGATTTTTCTCATTTGTCTTAGAGTTGTTCCTACAGTTTCGTGTTTATTCGAGACGAGAAACAGCTATTAATTACAAATCCGACCAATGTAAATGTAACAAATCACGTGAGCTTAAGCTGTAATTTAAGATTAATTAAAATTAATTAATCAAGATTATTTGGGCACAAATTTGTGATGTGAATGATTTAAGTATATTTTCGAAATGACTATATCTCTCTGATGAACTCTTTTATTACAAGAATACAGAATCTTGTGTAGGATTGGCACCAAAAGAGCATCTATGTGTCATGTTTGCAGAAATAAAATTTATGAGAAGTTGAATGAGAGACAGAAAGAATATTCAGATCAGTACTTTAAGCAATAATGTTTATGTAATATTTATATACACTCTCAATAGAAATAGAAGTAATTTTGATTAATTTCGATATTTATGAGCAACCATCGAAAAACTTTAGAGAGTACTTTAGAATTATTGAGAATGTAACATACTCTGTTTATTGCATAAATATTAGTGCTTGAAGATTTACTGATATTTGAATATCATTATTTAAATTTTTCTAAGAAAATGAGCCAATTTTTATCTTCCTTAAAATTTATGAACTAATTTCTATTCACATACATCCCATTCTCTTATTTTAATCTCGTATCTCATTAAATCTTAATACTGTAACATGCTTTCTTCTAGTGGATATTCGTATTTTAATTCTGATAAATTTTAATAATGTAATTGTTATATTATCGTAAAAAAAAGATACAATCAAGCTTCTAATTATTGTGTAATATATTTGTAGTTTTTTTAAATAGAATATATATATATATATATATATATATATATATATATATATATATATATATATATTTCCTGAGTAGATATTTAAAAATCAAGACTGCAAAAAAATTTTTTTAAATATTGAAGACACGAATCAATATCCTCCTTCAATTTTATGTGTCCTGTAAAACGCAGCCAATATAATTACATATAATATAACATTACATAAAATAAAAACTTATCAATTTAGCCATATAATGAATTGTAACAGTATAAACTCTATTTCGTGATACGAGATCAAAATTGTATGAATTATAATAATTACTATAATATAAAAAAAATTACAATTAATAATAAAAATTATAATACACGTTGCGATACGATACCAGTCCTGCAGGAAACGTAGAGACGATCTATGCGAGTCCAAGTATCATAGAACGAAAGTGGCAAAATTCTCTCTTTTCCCTCCTCTCTCGAGAGGTTCGCAACCAACGAAGGAGGGATAAGAACCGATGCGCGCGAGATTTTCTCGACTCTCGTCGTCTCCCACCTCGCGGAGGATCAAGGGGATCCTCCTCCTACGACGCGGGGCCCGCGCTCTGGGGGCCAGACTCCGGGGCCAGAGCATCGGCCGGAGCAGTGCCGGTACCGACGTACATCTTGACGTAGCTCGTGCTCTCCTGCAGCAACAAACAGCCGGCACATCCATTCGAAAGTCCGTGGAAGTCGCGCGTGTCGGAGTCGCGTGTGCCTCGATTCAGCGCGCGCCGTGTCTTGTCAGTCGCTCGCACGTGACGTCAGCGCGTGGATAAGTCGTCACCACGTGCCACCGGGGTGTCATCCATCTTCCCGTGCGTTTTCGGTTCCGAAAATTCATTCCTGTAAATTAGGACTCTGCGAATATTTTCGGGAGAGACAAATTTAGTGAAAAATTTTATTTTATTGTCTTATTTACCTTTTTTTTGAAAATAGGACGAGTGCCCAAGATAAAGGATACTTGGTTGGATCGAAGAAGAATTTGTTGGAGTGTTTGGAAAGGATATCCTTTAGAGTGATTGCTAACGAATAGTATCGTGTACTTTGAAATATTGAAGATAAACATGTCCTGAGAGGAGTCGAATCAATTGTTGAAAGAAAGAGCAAGTTTATTGTTGAAGGATTTGCTTTCTACCTGGAAAGAAAACTGAACGTTTCATTGAAGATACTTTTGTAAACCGAGAATTGTGATTCTCTTCAACTAGATAATTCCTGAATAACGCTATCTACAAATATATTTAAACAGAGAGCTGGAACAATTTTTTCTTATGCAAAATTCGGAGTAATTATTTAAAAAGAAGACCGAGTCAATTCCTTAAAAATATTATCCAAAAAAAGAGGAAAAAATTATAAAAATTTTATCTTCTTATTCCCTTATAAAAAATAATTGATGTATAAATTTTTATTGATACGCGAAAAGAGATTAATATTCTCAACATTTCCCTATGCAAATACTTTTAACACGGGACAATTTTATTAATTACAACCGTCATTGTGACTGTTTTGCGAGAATCTCGAATAAGCAATCCTGAAGAAGAGTCTATTGATAGAACGCTCTTCCCTATCTGGATTTTACTACGTACATTACTCGCGACACGACTCTCGTTTATCTTCCCGATTATAATCAATTAACAGTGCCGGCTAATGTACGCTCGTGGAAAATGCGACAGGCAGCCAAGGCGAGTCCATCGGTCTTGACACGGAACTCGTCGGATTGATGGACATCGGCGACGATTTTACGAGCGTCTCGATCACGGTTCGCGGACACCACAACGCGGCATCCGTTTCAAGTTGAACAGCGAAACGTCATTCTTGAGAGACGATGTCGCGAACTCTGCAGCCGATCGAGGAATCCAATCCCGGCAAGTCATCGGGTAAGATCTCATTCACTTTTCCATAATGATCTCTCACAATTAATCCGTTAGAAAGCACCTGTGTAACATATTGGGAAACATTTAATTGATATGTTTAAAAAAATATATTACGCGATTATTAAGCAATTAAATTACATCTGTCTATGAAATGTCATCTGTTAAAAATGATACAGATAATATTAAATATTATACATTTTATTGAAAATATATACAGAGAGAATTTTCTCTTAAAATTTACCCTGAAAATCATAGTAATCGTGGGACAATATGGTATTGAAAAAATTTGATAAAAGTTCCTCTGATTAAAATATCTACCATAATAAGATATAAATATGTTCGATTAATTTTACTATGTAAATGGTAAATATTAATCAGAGAATGATTTTTTATTGGCTCACAGTTACCATAATTTTCAAAGTAAATTCTGAGTGTAAATTCTCTCCGTGTATTAATATATATTATATATACACGTATCTATTAATAAAATACATATTAAAATAAAGATAAAACTTTCTTTGACCCTAAAAATAAAAATTCATAGAACATTAGTCTGTAAATTTAAATTCAAGGCTTTTAACTGTCTTGAAGGAATATATGAGGGAATAGCTGCTAATATATTTTTTTCACTTTTCAAAAGTATCGCATTAAAATTCTGTGATATATATTTTCTTGTTCTAAAACACAACGGCCGCTTTCCCTTTTCTTTTCCACGGAAGTGAAAAGGATCAGACACGCATCGTGTTGTTGTCCGTTATACGGAGTCTGCCCACAGCTCTTGTTTCTAACTCTTGTTTTCGAAACAGTCCATGATCGCTCGTGCGTGATCGAATGGATCGCTTAAGTGGATCCGACGAAACAAATCCCTCGGCTTTAGAAATTTCCGCTTCAGGACACCCACGTTCGATTGACGAAGATCCGCATGAATTGTCGGGAAGAAAGATGCAAATTGAAACTTGAATACGCACAATTCGATACGAATAAAGTTTAATTAATCCACAAATCTGTCTTCGCACAAATTAATAGAGAAATTTTTAATTTTAATTATTTATTTTTAGAGGGAGAAAAAGAACTGGATCTCATTTATGAATTTAAAGAGAATATATTTTATAAGTCATCAGAAGCTAGAAGCTTAGAAAAAAATTAAATTATATGATCTTGATACATAATAGAGTAATATAAAAATATCAAAATCATATAATTTATTACTATCATAAATGCATATACCATATTATTATTTATCACTTCGTTTATTAAGAATCAGTAAGATTATTTTACCGTAAATTAATTAAATCTCCGTAAATTTATTAAAAATGTGATCGCAATTTCATATTTTACATTGACCACATGTTCTGTCAGTTAGACTTCAAGACGATCAAAGTACCAAATTTCTAGATGATACTGCTTTTTTTCATCGTGTGCTTTCATATATGTATATATAAATAATTAACGGTCGCGTCATAGCGTGGCAAATAATTAAATGAGGCAATATTCCGAGAAACTGTAAGTTCGTTATATGGCACGATTAATCATTCAATCTCTGCCCGGCAAAATTTAACACTCACTGGTTGTTATTAGTTACGAAGTTGTGATCTACTTTCCACAATTAAAGCCGGTTAGACATATGTATGTATTCGCATTTCATCAAGTATCGCTGTCATAACAGGTGGAATGTGAAAATCTACGGCTGTCGGAAAGATCGAAGAAATGGATGATCCATTTACGTCAATTATTCGCTACCACGCATCAAAAGCGTTTTAATTCATCAATGACAGACTTTCCTACGCTTACATACTGACAAGAGATTACGTTGCTGATATTATACGATAAAATAAAATCATCTCTTATTTATTCTGCAAACATATGATGGAGAAGTTCGTTTATACACGGATAAAACGAGACGTAAAAATTATTAACATATAAATCATATTTTATTTGTTATAAAAATAAAACGAAAGAACATCCATTTCTTTTTGCATATTGTTGAATGCAGGATATCTTTAAAAGAGCGATTTCTCAGCATATATGTTTATCTTAAAAGGATTAAATCGTGCTGCTGGATGTCTTATTTTATGTCTAATGAGCATCTTACCTTGCGTAATTATATTAGAAAGACGGGCGCAATTACATGGTTGTTCTGCTAGAAATATGAGGAGACAAGATGATATGCTATCCATTACAAATGAGCATCTCGCTGGCGATAATTACACGGGAAGATTTGAACCGTTGATGCTTTGCGAAGTTTTCCTTTCTCAAAGCTAAACTAAAAGTGGTATCGATCTAAAAAGATAAAAACATTTGAATGACATATTGATTTTTTATGTAAAGTAAACTTTTGAAATATTATATTATACGTTGCTTCAGAATATTTTTGACAGAATGGAAAAATTAATTGCGATGAGAAATTATTATGGCGTTTCTTTTTTTTCAGTTTAACAATGAGCTAATTAAAAAAAAAAATTTTTACATTAATAAATAAATTCAGCATTCTTTTGCACAGAGAGAATTTTTTCTTAATATACAAAATATGTTTGATTAATTTTACTATGTACATATTAATATTTTTTTACTGTGGTAAATATTAATCAGAGAAACTCTTATATAAAATTTTTCTAATATTGTCCCACGATTACCGATAATTTTCAGGCTAAATTCTCTCCGTTTTATAACGCGTGCGCTCAATAAATCAAATCATCTGACTCACGGAGGAATCCTCCGAAATTAAAATAACGTTTTCACGGTACGACATACATAACATCCAACGCACTTTTCCAACTATTATTCTTATTACGAAGAACTAAAAAAATTGTGCCGTTACGAAGGAGGAGGAAACTCGGAAGAGACGTTGCGCAAAGCGTCCTGGATCTCCGTGAGGGTCCAATTTTTCATGGGTTCGTAGGCGATGCCCGATCTCGCATACCACGCGACGTCGCCCTCGACGTTTACCGATTCCATCTCTGTGGTCTGGACGAGAACGAAGAAGACGTCCCGCTTGTCGTTCTCCGCTTTATATTCCACCCGGATCTTGTTGCTCCCAAGGCCACCCTCCACTATGCTCACGTGACCGTTCATATGAATGGAAGCGGCGATCACACAGTTGATGGGTCTGTCCGGAAGTGACGTGTAGGACACCTCTCTGTTGGCGCCACCCGAAATATACCATTTCTGGGTGAATACTTTGATAGATCTGGACTCGGCCTCCTTGTCGATCAATAAATCACCCTGCATCAGCCACCTCGTTCTACAAAGAGAGAAGAGTCTTCAGAGATCTTCAGAGAGGATCTGATAGAACGATTGCGCGGCCGCGTTTCGCAAAAAACCCGTTATGAGGCAAGAGACTTCCTCTCTTCGAGAAGCAAGAAGATATCGGACAGAATTTTGCATCATCTAGATTTCTCCGGCGTTAATCGTGAAATCGCCGGCCGCGGAATGGGTCAAGATGTTTGTTTCGTAAAGGAGGGAGTTCTGATCAGATTGAGGAGAGTGTGATGGTTTCGTTCGAAAGAGATGAGAGATGTTGAAACCCCCTCTTTTACGACTCTCTTCTGATATTAAAATAAAGTGTTTTACATTCTTTTTCAGCAAAATTTAAATTGATCTCTTCACTGTTACAAATTAACTCCAATATTTACTAGAAAGCTCTTTTCTTCTTCATACAAATATTATACTCACGGCTCACTTAATGCAGAATTCGAAAGGTAACAGAAGATTAGAGGTACGAGAAGGTAGATGCGCGTCATCATGGAACTGCTGATGTACGGGACGAGATCTTGAAGTATCAGCTGTCGGCAGATATTATCTTGGCTATACGGGCTGTCTCCTCTTCAATGTTATGACATTATTCGGTGTTCTTGGCCCAATATCATTATCTTGCGCGCGAACTATCCTCTTTGTGAGCTAGACGGTAGTGGAACGTGTACTAAAATTAACGAAGAGAGCACCGTAGCAGACCCTGACGTGGGTTGCTGTTGTGACGATTCCTCCTCCTCCTCTTTTACGCGTCGTTTGCGAGCACGAATATATTCATCATCTTCCTTACATTTGCCTCATTATATAAGAAATCTTTGCCAATTCACACATATCACTTGTACTTGCTATACGCACTCTATTTATGCGAGCTTTGATCTTGACGCAGTTCTATTTTTTTAAGCGAAGATCATGTTTATAATTGATTATATCGTTATGACATAAATCTACGCTTTATTTAATTTGAGATCTAAATTTCATATCATGTTAGCTAATGTATTTAAGCTATTTCACGGTTATTTCACGGCTATTTCACGATGAACCGTAATGTGGCCCCTCGCACAATAGGCATAAGAAATAAAAATATCAATCAATCGAAAAGAAGATAGATATTATTCTCTGCTTCTATTAGTGAATATTTTCTATTTCTTATTCCTGATGTACGGTTCATCAGGAATAAGAAATAGAAAATATCAACCAATCGGAAAAGAAGATAGATATTATTCTCTGCTTCTATTAGTGAATATTTTCTATTTCTTATTCCTATTGCCTGTTGCCTGACATTGCGCAAAGGGCTATATATAAATTGTTCGGAAAAAGAAGAAGTTTGAATTTTATGCCACCTTTAAAAGAAATTTTCTTCCCCTTTCAAGCTTTAAGTTCTCAATTAATAAAGAGCAATGCTTTAAATCTACAGCTGATTTTGGAGTTATTTTTTCAATTTATTCGAGAAGCCATGACGTTTCATAATTGAAAGCCAATTAGGGAAGTCATAAGACAATATATTCCAACGCAGAAGAGAATATTCCTATCCAGGAGGACAGATCTGAGCATAAAAGCGGAAACTTCATATAATAACTCCATAAACAGCGCTCGGTTATTAAGTTAATCATAATGCTCAAATCGCCGTTCTTCACGCGACACGGCACTTGTAATTTTCCATGCGCGCGTGCACATTTAACGCCTTAATGTATGTACTTTGGGTTTCTTTCGATAGGATCGTGCATTTGATCCCTCGTAGCGGATCTTGCACGATCGCCGCACGGAAGTGCGGCTATTTCACGATGAACCGCGATATCGCACAATAGGCATCAGAAATAGAAAATATCAACCAATCGGAAAATAAGATAGATATTATTTTTGGCCGATTCTATTTTCTATTTTCTATTCCTTATTCCTATTGCCTGTTGCCTGACATTGTGCCAGGGGCTATAATCACCATCAGCTGGTGAACGCGCTTCGACCCCAAGTTATTAAAGTACAGAGAAAATTTTCTTTTAGAATTTACCCTGAAAATTATGCTAATAGTGGGACAATATGGTATTGAAAGAAATTTACAAGAGTTCCTCTGATTAATATTTATTATAATGAAAATATTAATATCTATATACCACAATAAAATATCAAATAGGCTCGATTAATTTTATTATGTACTACATGTTAATATTTTTCTTGTGGTAAATATTAATTAGATAAACTCTTAAAAATTCTTTTAATATCATATTGTCCCACGATTGCCATGCACAGTAAAATTAATCGAACATATTTTATATCTTATTGTGGTAGATATTAATATTTTTTATTGTCGTAAATATTAATCAGAGACTTTTATAAAATTCTCCCAATACCAGAATTAAAATTTACCCTGAAAATCATGGTAATCGTGGGACAGTTGAAAGAATTTTATAAGAGTTTCTCTGATTAATATTTACCACAATAAAATATCAAATATGTTCGATTAATTTTATTATGTATATATATTAATATTTTTTCTTGCGGTAAATATCAAGCAGAGAAAGTCTTATAAAATTCTTTGAAATATTATATTGTCCCACGATGAACGTGTGTAATTTTCAGGATAAAGTCTAAAAGAAAATTCTCTCCGTGTATGTACATAATATAAAATTAATCGAACATATTTTATATCTTATTGTGATAAATATTAATAATTTTTATTAGCGGTAAATATTAATCAGAGAATCTTATAAAATTCTTCCAATAGCAGAACCAGATATTCACCCTAAAAATCATAGTAATCGTGGAACAGTTGGAAGAATTTTATAAGAATTTCTTTGATTAATATTTACCACAATAAAAATATTAATACATATCTATCATAATAAAATATCAAATATGTTCGATTAATTTTCCTATGTACATATTAATATTTTTTATTGTGGTAAATATTAAATAATTAATAAAATATCTAACCATGTAATTTTCAGGATAAATTCTAAGAGAAAATTCTCTCAGTGTGAAAATTGTCTTTATTTTCTCCAAGTGGAAAAATGTCAACGTGCTGTGTCGCCGATGCATTTATGTATGTCGGAATAAATTACATTCTAGGGATGTAGCTAGACCGGTCCAAGTTTAACGGTCACATATTATCGGCAATTTATCGCGATAAACGACTGACAGCTGATCGATTATCTTTTGTGTACCAATTACTATCTGCGCGCGAATAAAGCCCGAAGAACAGAAACGATTAGGAAAGAGTATCCAACAGCTGGCAATGATGCCGATCTTAAATCTTTGCCGGTGTTTTGCACTCGGTTTATCAATAGAGATCATATCGTTTTGATTCTCTTTAAAAGAATTGAATAAAATATAGTATACAAAAGTATAATCTTAAACTTTTTTTACACTCTCTGATATAATTTAATTAGAAATCTAAATTTCATATTATGCTAATGTATTAAATTTTTAGAAAAAGATTTCTTATGCCTAATAATTACGAGAACTAATAATTAATATAAATTAGAATAAAATTACAGTGAGAAGAGAACAAAAATTTTTTAGTCATTAAGTCGAAATATTGTGACGTGTATTTTTCGATAATACACTATAGATATTTTAATTTTTTTTTCGAGAGCATACATAATGAAAATTGTGAATGTACGAATCCTTTGATTGCCAATCTGAATTATTCCATCTGATTTTGTATAAAATGTTAAGAAATTGAAAAAGATAATAATCGGGAAACATGCAATATCATTCTGAGTGTAAAAAAAACTTATCCATATATCGCAAAATAATCGTCGGAAATAAATTACAACATGATGAATACGATATACGTATATGTTAATTGTATATCTTCTGAGAGTTATAAATCAGAGAAATTTTGCAACAGATTATAAATTCGCGATGTGCGATAATCGAATAGCTGATTATCTTAAGATTAAAAAATAACATTGTTTAAAAATATATTGCATTTTCTTTCTTACAATAAAATTAGCAAAATTTTCTCATTCGTTAAAAAATGCGAAATGATTATAGATCTGGAAACCTTAAAAAAAAAATAAATAAATCTCTCTAATTGTGCGTAACGTCGCGATATCCGTCGAAATCCGTAAAATATAGAAAATCGATGAGGTCGTTCCGAAGAAATGTGAAATCCTCCTTTTCCCGAACCTGGTCACGAACGAGAGAGCTACATCCATCTCAACGACCTCCGGCCACCACTGCGACGATACGGTATTGTTCTTCGCTAAAACTAAAGTGACCGAGTGCCATTTGCCTTTTACGTGCGAGACGGTGCACTCGAACGGTGCGAACAAGCAACGAAAATAACGAAACGTTTTAAACATAATTAAAAATAAATAAAAAATGAGCAAGCTTTAAACTAGAAACGACAAACTAGAAAAAGTAATCCTCGCAAATTGGCGAATTTAATCACGCGATTGCGAATAAGTGCGCAAAATAAAGAGACGGTTCTTCAAGAGACGTGTGTGAGCAGTGTTTTGTGCTTAGATGATTTTAAAAGCTAGATAATGATGAGATAAAAATATGTAAATTCGTTTTGGATAAGATAAAGATGATTTTGTTTTAAATGTATCTAGAGAAAAAATAAAATTATATGGCGATTTATCTAGATAATTTTCTAGATTCTAAACCAAAACTATCTGAGAATTATTCTACATAATTTAGTAAAGATAATACTTTTTTTTCATCTAAGATACAGATATAGATAATACATATTTAAAGTTTTATCTAGAAGATCATCTATATAATTTTATTTAGATAACAGCAGACACTGTGTGTGAGTAATTAATGAATTCTATATTTTCCAATCAACGTGGCAAATCTGGAAAGTGAGCAATGATTCTCGAAATGCTCAAAGTGGAGCAGCAAGAATCAAAATATCGAAATGAAGAAAGTGACTCTTAGAATTAATTATTTTTTAAATTAGGGCGATTTTTTTTAGAAGATGTAATTAATTTTCTAGTCTCTCTTCCTCTTCACAACATAAAACTCAATCAAATATTCTCCCCGAAAAATCCGAAACCTTTTCAAAGCACCATCATCTCAAAATTCGTCAAGTCGATCGATCAAAAATTCATTGTTCGACTCGGTCCTATTTACGCGACTCAAATTACCGATTTTAATACAATATTCCATTCTCGACTCGTCAATCATCGGTCAGCGCGTGACATCCGGATCCCCCTGGGTTGGACACTCGAAGAACTCATCAGAAATGGTGGCCGAGCTGACTGACATTTCCCAGGCGACAGTCGGCGGAAAGGCATCTTCCCAAATCGGTAGCTCGAAACAGCGCAATAAACGACCCAGATGGATCCAGACGGCGACGCGTGAACCGATCTACAGCATCCTGGACAGCGACGACAGCGGGAATAATTTTCCCACGAACGTCCACGGCAGGATTGTGGTGATCAGCGCGATCAGAAACGAGTCTCCGGGTTGGAAAGAAAAATCCAATAAGTCGGGAAACAAGTCGCCGCCAATCCTCGAGGAGGTCGAGGACGAAAACACTCTCTACAGCGTGGTAAAAAAGCCGAAGAAAGTCCGGTTACCTGAAACCTCGTCGTCCGAGGGAACTATTCGACCCGTCGACGAAGTTGACCCGAGTCGGATCGGGGACACCAAGAGGCGACAGCTGGACCTGGAAGACGCGTCCAAGCGAGTCGAGGTGAGAAAGTGGCTCCGTGACACGCCCGGACAGTCTCTGCCAGATCCACCGAAGATGTTCTCCAACCGATCCGAGCTCGAGAATCGCTGGTCCCACCTGGAGAACAACCCGGTGGCGCTGCCCCGAGGAGTGGTGGGCCTCGTGGGGCCCTACAGGATTTATGGGAACGAAACTAGGGAATATGTGCTGCAGGAGGAGGAGCTTGTCGAAGAGGTGCTGGATTCTACGAGCGAAAAAGTGGAGGAGAATCAGGAGGAGGAGAATCGAAACGAGTATCGACAGAGAGCGAAGTGGAGGATCAGGGAGAACGACGAGGAGACTTTAGTGCCGGATATCCGGGATCTGCCGAGTCTGGAAGACTTCGTGGAGATGAAGGACGGGAAGAGGGAGGGTGATGATTGGGGAAACGAGCGAGGATCGCTGACGATGATGGAGAAATCGGGATGTGTCGAGAAGATTCTGTCCGGAAAAGAGGAACGCGCCGTGGATGTACCGGATACAATGATGCCGGTGAAGCAGAAACGGGGTGAGAAAATTACGACGATCGTGAGATCAATATTTTTGATGAATGAATAAGCTGCTTAGCAATCGGTAATTGTCCCGTGATTATGATAAAATAATTTTATTCTTTAAATAAATTCTGGACATGGCATTTGCCCTCTTAAAATCAGTAAAAGAATTATAAATATCCTGGAATTTATTTTCATATTTAATATTCATTCATATATCATATAAAATTATTATTCTTATATAATATAAAATATAATATATAATAATAATAAATAAATAATGTATAATATATAAAAAGAAAATAAAATAATAAAATAAAAAAAATTACATTTAAAAAATTAAGAACAAAAAATAAAAAATTTTAATGTGTCTCCTGAAAAAATCTTGCGGACTATTCTGGACAAATTATGAGAATTGAGAGAAATATATTTATAATCATTATATAAATATGTTCATGAATATATTTATGAAAACATCGTGTATATATTATATATGGTAACATAATTCTAATATTTCAAGAATATTAGAAAAGAAATTATGTAGGAGCGCGTATTACCTTTTAAAAATGTGAAAGGTGCTGACATATAAAAAAGTGTATTACTTTTCCTTTTTTCTTATTATATAAAATCTTAATTAATTTTTGAATATAATTATATCTCAAATTACATTCATGAATATAAATCGATGTAAATCCTAAGATAGTTGTTTATAAAATTAATTTAGTTAAATTAAAAGTTTCCTGAACAAAAAATTAACTCAATTAAAGTTAAGCTAAAATTAAATTAACTCTAGTATTCTCATAAATGTTGTTTTAATATTTTTTAAGTGTTTTTTTACTAATTTTCAAGGTTGGGTAAGTTAATGCTTTTTTAAAACTAAGTTAAGAGTAACTTAGTTTAAAAAAATATTAATGATTTTTTAAAACTAAGTTAAGAGTAACTTAGTTTAAAAAAATATTAATGATTTTTTAAAACTAAGTTAAGTAACTTAGTTAGGAGTAACTTAGTTTAAAAAAAAACTAATAATTTTTAAACTAAGTTAAGTAACTTAAGTAACTTAAACTAAGTAACTTAAATTAAGTTACTCAAGTAACTTAAACTAAGTAACTTAAATTAAGTTACTTAAGTAACTTAAACTAAGTAACTTAAGTAACTTAAACTAAGTTACTTAACTTAGTTTGAAAAAATCATTAGTTTTTTTTAAACTAAGTTACTCTTAACTTACCCAACCCTGAAAATTAGTAAAAAAACTTAATTAATATTGAAACAACATTTATGAGAAGACGGCTTGTTCTCAACGAAGGAAACATTATCAGAAATGTAACTTAGCTGAAGTTTAACTGGCAGAGTGCCATGACAATTTCCGCAATTTGACACAGCCACTCTTCTCGTTTGCGCGCGATGTCTCTATCGCCGGTTGATCTACTTGTGAATTGTAATCGGACGCGAGAGAGGGATATATTATAAGTAGCACCGGCGCATAATTTGTCAAAGTGTGTCGTCTTGTATTCGGTATGCGAGAGACGACACGCACATCTTACGGTATTGTCTGGCAGAAAGGACCCAAATAGCGGTAGATGGTACACCGGGTATGCATACGCATATGCGTTCCTGATACGTGCAAAGTATTTATGAATCGATCATCGATAGGTCAATATTCGTTTGTATTCTGCATCCCTATGCACTTGTTTGTCTACAGTCTCGACCAATATCGTTTTGCATAAACAACCGTGAATTGTCTTGCTCGAATCTAAAATTGGATTCTACAGAATATTTACACGGAGATAATTTTCTCTTAGAATTTATCCTGAAAATCATGCTAATCGTGGGACAATTTGTATTTGGTATTGGAAGAATTTTATAAGAGTTTCTATGATTAAATATTATTTATCAGAATAAAAAGTATTAATATGTACATAGTAAATTAATCAAACATATATCTTATTGTGATAAATGATAATATTTTTTATTGTGGTAAATATTAATTAGAGAAACTCTTATAAAATTCTTTCAATACCACATTGTCCTACGATTAAAATAATTTTAAATTCTAAGAGAAAATTCTCTGAGAAAAACTGATATATGTGACACCTAAGATAGGATAAACTAAAGATAGCACATTCCCCCAGTTTAAAAATATATCGAAATATCATTGAGCTTTGCTTAGACTTCTCGATGAAACATAGATAAAGTTTATATCCATGGAAGGATTTAAAAAAAAATCAACATGGACATTAAATTAACGGGCCAGTTTAAAAATATATCAAAATATCATTGAGCTTTGATTAGATATCTCGATGAAACATAGATTGAGTTTGTGTCTGTGAAATATTATAGAGAATATTATGTTCAATATGTGTAAAAAATAATGTATTATAAATTAATATTCTTTCTTCTATTATCAATATCATATTCTATTAATATTAATAATAAAAAAAATGCATACATATATCAGTAGATAATTCTTCTTCTTTTGCCTAACGAGCAGCAGTATATTCAATCTTATAATCAATCTTCAGCTGTAAAAAAATCATGGGCATTAACGGTACTTGGCGTTCTCCATATATACTATATATATTATATATATATATATATATATATATATATATATATATATACGTTATTTGATTGTTCAGAAGTTAAAACGGGGCAGAGCGCACAAACGCAGCTTTCTAGTCAAGTCCAGTTCGTTCTTGCTTTCTTTCGAGAGACCTTTCATTATATCTTCGTCCGATATGGTGCACTCTTCGGCACGGCTCGGTATATATATATCACATGAATTGTGCGAGCGACTTTCACCATTTTTACACACCTTTTACAACGTCTCTACTCTACTCGGCTTCGGGTATTTTACGATCGTTACATGTCATCATCATCATCGGCGACTCGATATCTCGCGAACTCTTACTCTTCTTCGTGTTCGCGCCTCCTCGACGATTCGTTTCCTGGTTGACTGACCGAGAAGAGCGTTCTTCTGGTGCGCGAAGCCGAGGCGTTGCGCGTTCGAGCGGATGTTGAGATTTTACATATAGAGGAAATTAGAAAGCATGCATAAGTTAGTTAGCTGCTATAGACCATAAGTTATTCCATCCAGGAATTAGAATAGTGATATAACGATTTCGAAGCTCACCGTCGATCTGTCTTTGCCGCAAAAATCCCCGCAATTCTTCTTCTACGTCAGAGTCTAGAGACTCCGAGAGGCGTAAAAATCGCGAGCGGGAGAAAAGACCTCTATTATTCTTGCACATAACTTTTGAGGCCACTCCACTCGGAGCCGCGAATCGTTTTCTCCTCCGTCGAAGAAAGAAAAAAACGCACACTTTATTGCTTTGAAGAAAAGCGCGAAAGCGAGTGAAGGGATGAGATAATTTTTCAATAATATATATATGGTACTTGCTTACGTAAGAATCTGGAAAATGGATTAATTGTTTCAAAACGAGACCTAGGTTAACGAGAAATATTTTCGACAAGCCCCGGCACACAAAATATGAAAGTATGAATATATAAGTTGGATCTCGCGTAATGATATATATCGAGTATTTCATTCATACCTTTAAGTCCGAGATTTGAAATTTTAATAAAAGAAAAGGGAGAAAAGAGAAAGAGAGAGTTAAATTTGATAGTTATATAAAGCAAATGTGAAACTTCTTTTTTCATAAAATTAAATGAGTGTAAATTATTCTCCGCGAGACTGATGGAAATGTGAGTTTAATTATAACTTGGTTCGCAAACGTTAGGGATAACTGATTAGACGTACACTTACTAAGCATTTAACTTCTCATTCATTAATTAACAGTACATCGAAGAAGCATATAAGTGTACATTTACTATTCCTTCATTAGAAGTGCGTATCCTAGCGTGTCGAGATAAGAAAAAATACAGGGTGTCCAGCAGACTCAATGAAAACAATTCCCTGACTTTTTCAGATTTTCCAAGACCAGAAATTCATTTTTTTCCCTGACTTTTTAGTTTTATTTTTTCCAAATATATAATTTGCATATATCTATATGATAAATCGATTAAATGTTTTAGCTGGGAGTAAGGAAAAGTTCAGATTTATTTAATAAAAAATTTCAAATTATTGAGACAAATGTAAAATAATGTAAAAAAATCCAGAAAAATAGTAAAATTTCCCGACTTCTCCCTGACAATTCCAGATTTATCAAATTCCCTGACAATATCCGGTTTTCCAGATTTCCCTGACTGCTAGACACCCTGATAATAATCATTCGACAATATGGTATTGGAAGAATTCGATTAAAGTTTCTCCGATTAATATTTACTACAATAAAAAATATTAACATCTATACAATAAAAGATATATGTTTGATTAATTTTACTAGGTACATATTAATATTCTTTATTGCGGTAAATATTGTAATCAGAGAAACTCTTTCCTGACAATTCCATTAAACTTCCAAAATTCCCTGACAATGCCCGGTTTTCCAGATTTCCCTGATCGCTAAACACCCTGCAATAATAAGAATACAAGTATAAGGAGAGAGCTCTTCTTGCGGAACACAAATTGATTAATCGACGCAAAATTCAACGTATTTACGGAAGAGGATGAGGACTGTATAAGATACGCGGATACTTCCTCTCGAATCTCCGTAACTTACTTTCGTGTTCTACTCAAAGCAACACCGTGCCCTGACTCCATTAATCGTCGTGCAACATCAATCTGTCAGACATATGACGCCACCGTTACTAAAAGCCTCCTGACAGGCCTCAGTCACTGTTACACATAACTGATTCTTCGCAGTTAGATGATGCAGCTGCATCGCCAAACACAAACCGCCGCCGGTTCAGTACAGTTAACCACTTTTCTCGGCACGCGGTGCTGGTTCAAGCACGGATCAAGACGCACAATTGCATCTGTACGCGAAAATATCCGCACGCATACACGTTCTCTCTGTCTCTGTCTATCTCTCTTTTGCCGGATAACCATACGGTTTCGACCATACTTTTCGACGCAGATGTTCTTCCGTCGAACGACGACTTGCGAGGAATCCTATAC